ATACTGCTTCAACAGCCCCAGATGAAGAGATCATTACACTGAATTTATGAATTGTGGTTTGATTTTCAGGTTTTTGCACAGGAAAACCTAGACCATTTATGAAATATGTTAAGATTTCACTTAATTGCTGAATTACTGAAGTATATAGCATAATATAGTTCAAAAATACATCACATTCTGCTGTGTCCTTGCCATTACCTTACAGGGAATTCCCCACCACCACAATAAATAGTGGCATTTCTATTGTAGAGCACTATCAGAGTCTTGATATGAATATCTGAAAAATTCCTCCCATTCTCTTCTTCAACATTAAATAGAGCTTCCTCTTAGATTAATATGGTGCTTTATTCACACGATTACCGGGAAGTCAGCTGATTTCTTTCTCTTGGAACACTTCCCACAATCTGGCAGAGACTTATTAAGAGACTTCCCCTGTAAACTGCCTAAGGATATTGTAAATAACTTGACTGGTTTTGCTCTGGTTTAGGCCTTTCAATGGGGTTTACATTTGAATATTCTATTCCTCTTAATGTTGGAAAATAATGTTAATCCAGTAATAACTCTTACCTCACATTAATTCATCAGAGATAAACTTAAAGGGTTTGTTGGTGCTTCAATAAAATGTTAGGGTGTGATAGGGCAAATCAGAGAAGGTACTAAATAGATAAAGTTCTAATTGCATCACTTTCTAATTTATTTGTCAAAGATGATTTCCTGCTTTGGACCAGAACCGATTTCTATAGATTTCTTTTGGCTGTACATAGATGAATTGTTGTAATTGGCAGCTCAGTATTAACAGGGGAGAAGCCACAGGATTTACTTGAGGGATCAGGACAATTTTTTTTTAGCTGGGTGATATATAACAATACACTCTCAGTAGAAATCAAGTTATGTCATCAGTAAAAAATGGGTAACAGAAAAATTTGTCAAAGCAGAGGAAATTTGAGCCCTAAATATAAATGGGGATTGAAAAAAAAAAAAGTATTGATCCTTCATTTAGTTATGCCAAAAAAGATGAACAATAATTTTTGAGTATGTAGAGAAAGGAGTATAAATTCGCATTATTCATAGTAACTGGTTTTGATTCTAAGAAGTGCAGTAGAAGCTGTATTCCTTTCAGTTAGGGAAAAACCAAGGAAACATTACATATTTTATTAAATATCTCATTTTATCCTATGTAATCCCTCTGTGGCTTTAAGGCCTTATTTATATCATGCTGTAGGAATCTCTAGTGCAGTCACCCAGGAAACAAAAGGCTTTGAAATTATTAATGAGTTTATTTCAGTATCATTTTTCTACTTAGACTGTGCAGTGGTCACTTAGTAACATCTCAAACAAGGGCACACCAAGGCAAAGTCATTGGCTTTCTTCCAGCCTGGGGTGCATTCCCAGCATTTGGATCCCGGTTTTTCAGTGTGTTTAGGTTTATATATCTCCTGATATATTCAAAGCTTCAGTCACACTCAGCTGCAATTCTTGGTATTTGTTTATTTTGCTAATCATCTTTCATTTCTCAGATTGGGAACCCCAAAAATAAGGAACTTGGGCTGTCAAAAATTTTGTTAAGCAACTTCATATATCTACTGCAGTAAACAGAGCTTATCCCCTTCCATTTCCGTGATCCATTTCCCAGAGTGGAAGTGATTTCATCAGAAAAGGTGCTTAGAGTCCCTTCCCTCCCTTGTTACATGAACTTAAATTGCCTGTACACTCTCACACAAGTATCCAATAGCTCTCCTGCATTAAACCTCTATAGTATTACTGAGAAAAAATAATAAAAATCTTCACCTATTAAATAGGTTATCGGTATCAAACAGTTGAGAAGCTTAGTACAATAGGAGGTTGATAAGAAAAATTTAGCGCTGTTTCTTCTATTGGTTTATCTACAGAAATAAAAATGAAATTTGCTTATAAAAGCTGTAATTTGCTTATTCATTAGATTTTTTTACATGTTTCCTTTTACTTTTCTTCTCCATGACTGCTAGTAGTACCTACACAGCCTCACTCAGCTCCCTGAGAGGCTTGCTGGACAGCTCTTCAACCACTTTGACTGGCAATTTCCATTTCATCTTTTGTTGTGGTGGCTGTGGCTAAGCAGCTCTTGCCATACTTGCTTGCACTTGTTTTTCTTATTTATTCTAAGATGATGTCAGGGAGATGGCAAAGGCAATTAGTTTATCAGAAAAAATGCAAAGAGAATATAGACAAAACACAAAGTCAGAAAGGGTTTCTAATGTGATGATGCAATGCAATGAAAAACTTGTACCTACCATTCTTAATTCTGTGGATTTTTCTGTGAACCTGTGATTTTTTTTTTTTTAAGCAGCCTTTCATCCCTACTTCTATAGTATTATTGTTTAATAGCATCTTTCCTAATTTATTTTTTTTTTCCTCGTTCAACAAATAGCATCAGCTTCCTAGTATTCCTTGTACTGAGGCATGGAGAACTTGAGGGGATATCTAAGTTATTAAAATTCACAAAATCCATACTATTTCTGTAGGTTTGAATGGTACAAAGAGGAGGAGGTGCTCTGGATTGCTCTGTAGGTCCCTAGATCCCCCAGATAAGCTGAAGGGACATTAAGTGCTTTGGATGGGGTCTGACACATTTACTGATTATTCTTTACTAGATGCACCAGGTGCTGCTGGACATAACTCTCAATCTCTCCTAGAGGCAGGGGCCTGATTTTTGGCAAAACTGAAAGCAAGGTTCATGTCTGTGGCCTTATGAGCCCCTTTTGCAACAAAGGCCATGATTTAAGAGACCACAATTTCCTCTATGGCCTGAAAGGTGACAAGCCTCAACCTCCCATCCTTGAAGAGGGGGAAGCTCCAGGCTGTGCTGGACATCTCCACAGCTACTCCCATGACAACTGTTCTGCCTGACTTCACAACTGGAAGGTATGTCTCCTTTGACTGGGCCTGAATTCATGAGGCACACACCTTTAAAATCTATAAATAATCACCAATTGAAAATACTTAAATAAAGCTTGGATGAAGGGAAGAACCCAAACCTGCTGGTTTCTCAAAGAATGCACTGACTGTCTGATTTTCATCCTTCATGCAGGGCAGAACAGCTTTGGCAGAAGGGTGTGAGAGCTCTCCTTCATGGCAGAGCAGCCCAGAGACCACACTGCAGAACTGTGGCAACATGGACCTGAAGCTCCTGAAAAAGAAGATGGTGTGGCCTTTCTATGGTACCACAATCACTGTGTGCAGTTACAGTAACAGCACAACTCCTGGAATGGGGGTCAGGGTGAGTGCTCCTTCATTCAACTGACTGATAGCAGAGCTGCTGTCTGGTGTGGATTCTGAAACCTTTTGTCTGTGGTGTGTGTTTTAGTTGACAAAGATCAGAAATGCTCTAGGGAAGCCCCTAAAATATGTGGTTACTTCAACTGTCAGCATATTATTTTTGCCCATTTTTTTTTCAATCTGAAACTTGACACAGGCTGTGGTTTTTTGCACGCATCCTTTTGCTTGTTAGCTGGAGTTTATATTTGTATGCTGTTTCTCATTCTTGCTCTATTTTATTTCAGTGTAAGGGAAATTACAGGGGGTTTATGTCACATGCTCCAGTGTACCAGTGTACTGGACGGCTTATATGAATTCCTGTGCTGGTGAAAGGAAAGATACTAATTTCTTTTTTTTTCTTTTTTTTCTTTTTTTTTTTATTTTAATTGCTCCTAGCTACAGATAAATGCGAAGTTCTTATGTTAACAAGATGAATACTGTTGTGCACTGCCTGTCCCAACACTAATGTTAAGGGATCTGTGCATTTGTGATGTTCACAGACTAGGAAAACCAAGGGAAGGCATAAGAGGTTTTCTCAATGTCTTCTCCTCCATCTACAGGCCAGGCAGCTGCCAGCTGCTGTTGGAAATGCTTGCTCAGAGCTCCAGGACATGTGTGACTGGCTGTGAGGGGGTATACTCATGGGAGGATGGTAGACTGCTTGTGGAGAAAGAGCTCCTCTCCATAGGGTAGTTCCCTCCAGAAGCAGACAAGCAACTGAGCAAACAGCTTGTGGTACATCATCATGATTGCCACTTAAATATGAGAAAAACAGATTTTCTGCAAGAGTTGCCCTTAAGTAATTTCTACCTTCAAGTATGGCCAGGTAGTGTTCATCATGACCGGGAGATTATAGACTTTTCAACTGAAACGATGGATTGTTTCCTCTGTTATGTCTAGATTGGAGACAGATCAAAAAGTAAGATGGACTTTGAATGAGTGTTAAGATATAAAGATTTCAAGTTTGTTCCTGTTTTACTCTTCCCATGTGTTCTAAGTATTCCTGAAGAGTTTTCCAAGAAGATCTGCAAGACCATAACTTCGGAGGAAGCCTTGTTTCTATAGAGCTGTCCCTGGCTTTTCCTGAGCTGTAGGCAAACCAAGCAATAATGTGCCAAAACTACTCTGCCTTTGAACCTAAAGCTGATTATCTTGTAACTGAGGCCGAAATAAGGGAAAGGGTACTAGAGAGGCTTAAGCTTTGGTTCAAGTTCTGCTGCTACAGTCTTAATTTGCAACAATTAAATGTGATTTCTATTTCTGGTTTTGTTTTTGCATTTGTAGAAACAAAAAAAATTTCTTACTGTCTTGACACCAGGTAAAATCTACCATGGCTTATGACATATCTAAATGCCCTGTGCTGGTGGGCATAATGTGGCTTACATTGGTACACTGTCATCTACATCACTGTCCCTGGGAAAAATAGTGACAATAATTACTGACATTTTACTAATATTATTTGGGTTCTAAAATTATCTGTAGACTTTGTGCAGCACCGTATTTACTTAGAAGTGATACTTCCTCTCAATGCAGAGAAATCAAAAGCACATGTTCTCCTTTTCAACTCACTTTCCTCTTTATAATGTGTCACAGCACAAACAATGTATGTGAAAAAGAGAACTAAGTCTGGCCATGCATTTTTACTGTTTTGTGCTTCTTAAGCTTCTTAAGAAGAAATAGCTTCTTAAGCTATTACAAGGCATGTACTTTCTTTTGGATTTTGAGAACACTACCATGACAATCCCTAAGAGAGATACAGCTGCTATGAAACATCTGTCTTACCTTCAGAAGATGCCTGAGAGTTAAAGAGAATCCATAGAAGAGGAAGGGAAGTCATGCAGTAAAGCAAAGTAATGAACTGCTTTTGTCTATGTATTGTTCAGCTTGAATCATTATAATCAGAAAATAGGAAAATTTTTTAAATAGACTTTTCAGTCTATGAGAAATTGTTCAGCCAGCAATACCTCAAAGCTATTCATCCTGGACAGAAAGAATCCTGAACAAAATTTCTGCTATGGAAACCAATTTTTGGCCAGAGAGGCCAAAGATGGTAGCTGAATGGAAAACCAGAGCTCAGATATAGAGCCAACATGAAAGGAATTTTCAAGGATGTACAGTTCCCTGTTCATAATACAATATTGAAATCCACAGGGATTTTGCAGCAATATCCATGAGCATTAGAGAACATGGCCCTCAGTGAATAAGCACCAGCCCGTTCCTTAACTGTGCAAAGCAGAACTGCTGGAACATACTTTGGGTGAGTCTCATGAGCCTTTGGTTACCAGTGTTGTGCCTTCCATCACACATACACACTCACAAAGGGTTTCCTCAGCAACTCCACTGAGGCTTACAGCTCTTAATGCAAACCTTTTTGTGTCTATTATGAAAGTGACTTCCTGTAGGAAAGTAAGGCTGTGATATTTTGGAAGTTGTTTTGAACACAAAAGCTCAGTCTTTTAGATTGCAAGGGTGGGTTTTTTCCTCTAGAGCTTTTTTTAAAAGCTGTCAGATTGAACCTTTTCCTTGCTTGCTCACCTCAGAAACTAGCTGTGTTTCGAAGTCCTCCAGCATCCTTCCACACCTGCATTTCTAGTATCACCTACCATATTTCTTCCCAAATGATATGAAGAGCCTCAGTAATGCAACATGAACACTGCAGGTGAGACACACCAAGATAACACTCTGCAATGCTGCTGGTCACACCTGCAGCTTCCTCAGAAGGTCATTTTCTTAAGTGAAGTTAGGAATTCAAAAGGTTCAGAATTTCCAATCTAGTAGATGCAAAGATAGATTATGGTCTCAAATATTTGTGGTCATTCAGAATCTCACCAAACTTTGGACATTCTCACAGAGCTGATGGAGCAAGACTCAAAAGAAGAGAAAGATTGAGCATACAGAATAATTAGTATGAGAAGTGAGGGATTTTTTTAACTAATAAAAGATAGAATACAAATTAATGAGAAACCTATGTAACTTGTAGCCAATGAACATCCATGCCTTTGTTTGCCAAAACATATTAATAATGAAAAGTTCTAATAGCTCTGGTGCTGGTTTTGTGGATTTGCCACCCAGTCTCCCTTTCTGTGCAGAACTGTAAATAAACCAGATAGCTTGACTGTGTGTGGGGATTAGCCGCTCTCATACCAGTTGAAAAAAACATTTTGGGACAACAAAGGCATGGATGAAAATACAGGAGGAAATCCTCAGAACACAAATTAAGATAGTTCATGTCAGGGCAAAATACTGACCTCTATCATTACACACATTCAAATTAAGGCCAGGAATTCATATTTTAGATGTAGAAAACTGTAGAAAGTGGCCTGGTATCATTTATGCTGGTGCTTCCAATACCACTGAGCATGTTCTGTCTCCTCCTTTGGCAGTAGGGTAGTGTCCCAGTCAACATCAAAGCAAAGAAGTTGATGATCACCTGAAAAGCTTAGGTAGTTCTCAGGTGTCTCACGGCCTCTTCTTTGCCAGTCTGCTTTTCCCTTGAAGACCACCTTTATAGTCTACTCCACTAGATTAACTATGACTTGCTCCAGCAATTCCTTTCTGCTCTTTACAAGCAGCTATGGGTGTTGTACAAAAAGTGAACAACCAGTCTTTTCTGTAGTCATGAACTGGAATCACAGTAATAAGCTGAACTCTTGTTCCCCAAACTTTTGTTCTTGATGTGTATAGGGATTGCCTCATGGATTTCAGCCTCAGAAGCTGCTAAGAGATCTGCCTGCAGGGCTGCTGGAGGCGTTTATCACTTGAGGGGTTGTGCTGCACATTAGAATAGAGTTAACAAATAACCATATGAACTTTTGTACAGATTTCTTATTGTTTTATTGTCTCCTATCAAAAGTGATTGTTTTATTGTCTCCTATCAAAACAGAACACTGAAATACAGAATCTTATTTGTGCAGCCCTTCATTATTTTCTGCTCTGAGTGCTGTTATTCTGAGATGTTGCTTTTCTTCAAAAGTGCACAGAGGAGTTCCAATGCAGCCTGGGTGTGAGAGAGCCTGAAGAGGCTGATGTCCTGCAGCACAGATCAGGCCCCATGTCTGTAAGTACTGCAAAGAGATCAGCTGCTCCCAGGAAGGAAACAGCCTTGTCTCTTCTCAGTGAGCATATTCCCATGGAACCTGGTAGAAGTGGATCTTCTCTACAAAGAGAAAATTATAAATTCTTATACAGTTCAGCAGCTGATTTGCTCATAGGAGCTGCTGTCTTTTGCAGGAGCCATTTCTTACTGGCAGCTGATAAAAACCTTGCAGTCCAACGCAGGGAGTCTGGATGTCATTGTGTTCATCAAATCCTATTGCCTTTCCCCTTAAGACTCTGGTGGAACTTTTCTTAAAAGCTATAGCCAGTGGAATAATACTACAAAAAGTATCTGTTCACACTCTAGTACAGTCTCTTTATTAATTTCTAATTTGTGTAGGTCCATGCATGATTAAAAACAGAAAACTAAGCAAATAAGATTGCAGATCACCAAAAATGCAGCTATAGGCATCATGAGAGGAAGCTCATAAATGTTTTCAAAAGGTTGTTTGTTTTAACACCAGGTAAGCATGGCAACGTAAGTGATGATTAGATGAACCAGCATTCTGTCGGATGCTGCTACAAGCAAACTGTGAACATCATGTGCAAGCCAGACAAGCTCCTGTTTCATAGAACATCCTATTTTTCATTTTGGGCCAATGGCAAGAGAGATGGCCAATCTCTTTGCATGAGTGTTGGCAGAGTCTGAACATGTGAAAGACATACTTTCACTTCTGATGCACCAAGTGGAGCTGCAAGGTAAGTGCCTGCATGCTGCTGGCTTTATTCTTACTGATGGACTGTTTAACAGCATGGTTTTGGGACAGATTTGAACTGGAATGAAAAAGGACAGGAAACATCTGGGGAACAATGAAAATTGTTACTGCCAGCTCTCATCCAGTTCTGGTTTCCAGTCAAATAAATGGATCTTTTCCTAATTAGTGACAAAATCAAGTTCTTCCGAGCAGGGACAAATGACCAGTGAAGGTAATGTTGCTTGTTATACTGGGTCTGCTAGAAGGGAGGTTCTTCTTAATTTTCCTCTTTGGAATTTCCCCTCTGAGTGTTCTGGTGTTTCTTATTTCCTCCTTTCTACTGTCACTTTCTCTTAGCTCTGGGCTGGGCTGGCAGTTCTCATCATTTTTTAGTACTGGATCCAGAGTGAAAGAGCAGGAGCTGTCTGGCTTCATAAGGTCAGTTTTTCGTCAACCCTTGAATGCATGCCTTTTTTCTTGGTAAATTAATCTTATCTTGCCTTTTGTACATTTTGTAATTACATTGTGTCAGTATCTGGATTTGTGTTGCTTCAAATATTAGTAGGATGATGTTTAAATGTAGGCAAAATTTTAGAGAATTTTTTGTGATTTTGTTTTGTGGCTGGCCTTGCTACTTGCTCAAAGAGTTGTTGTGGTTTGTTTCAGATTTTGTTAAGAATATTCTTATTTTGTATAAACGTGCATATGGAAAGCGAAACTGAGATTCACTGAATAAAACTGGCTTACTTCCATTTTTTCCCAACTCTAGCAAAACAACCTAGAGCTTTACTTTCCCATCGAGGAGGGCTGAAATTCTTTCTTGAAGAAAGCCATTGAGTTAAAATGTAGATGAGTATCTGCTGTGGTCTTTTTCTCACAGCTGGGCACAGCTGTGACGCAGGAGGTGATACTGGACATGAAAGGCAAGTTCTGCTCTAAATCACAACTCTGACACCTGCAGGGCACTTGTTACAGCTCTGCCTGAACTTGTCCATCTCCTGCACCAGACAAGTAATATTTTTGGTTCTAAGCTAAGCTCACTGAAAGGCAAAAACTCCTTACCTGATATTTATACTTTTAAAAATTCTTTTAAACTCATCTCTAACAGAGAAACAGAATAACAGGCAAGATATAGATCAGGTTCTTTTTCAACTCCATCTCTGTTTTTCTTTCATTTTAGAGTATAACTTCTCTGGAAAGTAACACCATTCCATCAGAAAGATAAAAACTCTCAGAAAAAGTAGTATCCCTTCTTGAGCTGGGTAATACAGTGGAAAAAGTTAAACTGGCTTTTCAGTGTATAAGTTTTTCACAGATTTGAAATAGAAACTAAAACTTCAAAGCTAAATATAAATTGAGCTCCATTACTTTCATTTTACAAATAATCAGGGAATTTCTGAAAGGAAAAATCTATGTGGTACCTGTGGAGAAGAGGAATTGTTACTTATTTATTTGGGAAGAGGAAATGGATATAAGTGACTGGAACATGAAGAGAATTTCATCCTTCCCCACTGCTGGCTTGCCCTCCTCCCAGATAAGCTTGTCCCAAAACATTGTCTGAGCAAATGCCAGGAAACAGCTCTGCCTTTGGGGGAGTGCCTTGTGCACCTTGACATAACCTTGGGAGCGGGGGGGCATGGAAGATGAGAGAAAACTTTCTAAAGTTGGTGAAAGAAAACAAGGCTATAAAATTGTGGCCAGCAATATTGAGCTTTTTGATCAACGTGCTTTTAAATCGAAGTACTGGTGTTTCACTGGACTCCTGATTTACAGCTTGATATAACCTGCTTTTTGTCAGCTTGTTTCACTCAGACTCATAAGTAGCACCTACTAGGTCGGGGGTGTTGCAGGAAAATAGCATTTGTTCAGCAATCTTTGTATTTCATTTTTCAACTTCCTGTCTTCACAGCAGTCAGACTCTTCCATTTTTCTTATTCTAGGACTTGGAATGTTATGAAAGACTTGAATGTTATGTCATCCTCTGGTTAAAAAGTGTGCGATTTGCATGGCACTACTACTCTTTTCTATTAATTATCCTCAGCTTCCTAAACTGGTCCAAAAGTTAAATTGGAGGGGGAATTCCTCTGTTCCTAAAATGACTTTACTAATTTTCATTTTCTTAACCTCTGTACTCATGAGGGACACTTATTGCCTGTTAGTTCATATGTCAGCAAAGGTTTGGGAAGGAAAGCCCCTAACAACTCTCCTCAAATCTTTTCTCCTTTACATTATTATTGGAGTACATGTTGCATTTAGGCCTTTATAATCCTTCTCAGATAACATTTTATTTCTATTAGTAGCAGACCCCATTGCCTGGAATCTTTAACATGTTGACCCTTTAAAATATAAGGCACAATTAAATCAAATTATTTGGGAAAAATGATGAATCCAAATGACCTCCATTGCCTTTAGAAATCTAAAATGCCCCATCTAACTCTTACGATTAACATGTGATTTAAGTGAACACCTACTCCTTCTCTGTCCTTGTACAGTGATGGTCACTATTTCTTTAACTACTTTTCCAGCATTTTTAATTCATGTATCACTTCAACTCTAAAGCATTGTGAGTCTTGGAAGTGAACCATATTGTCATGCCATGTATGAAGGATTCAGAGCTGAACCAAATGCATCCTGCATAGAGACTTGGCAGTGTCAGGTGTGCCCAGAGTCATTGCAGAGGTGTAACAAAGGGCACACAGGGTGCCAAGTGTGGCCATGCAGCTGGAGCGTATCAGCTGCTGGGGAAAGGAGGTGTTATTTAAGGATTTAAAGAACAATATTTGTTTTAACCACTGTCCAAACCACAAAGGATTGAACTTTCTGAATGGCACAGAAATACATTTGGCAGCACTCCTGTCTCTCCCCAGCTCGTTCCCTTTGTGCGTGGAAGCCCCGCAGGTGGCCCTGGGGACCCCTGTCCTGCAGGTCCCTGCAAGCTCTGCCTTGCTCCTTCTGAGAGCTGCCACTGGCCTTCACAGCCCTAACACAGAAATCATTACAAAATTTCCTATTCCTCTGGCATGAAGCTGTGCCAAATACTCCTTTTGGCAGCACTGGGTCCCATGAGACCCCAAAGGGAATGTAGTATCAGTAAATGAAGTTAAAATAATGTATGAAACAACAGAATAATGTATGAAAACAATAGCATAACGTATGAAACAACAGAGGAAGTGCTGAGCAGTACAGAGCTTATTCACTCTTCACCTCAGACAGGACTGCTGAGATGCTGTGACAAAAAATGGGGAAGCTCTGGGGAAGGAGTTGCTGCTGTAAACAAGCTTGGTAAAGGTCTGGTTTCATTTTGTGTCCTTCAGTTACAATATGTGGCAAAACACTTGCTGCCCCTGATGTGTCAATTTCCTTGCCTCTGACTCCTCTCCATGTAGAAATTTCCATCTTTCAAAAACTTGCTTCTTTATTCACAGTATATTTTCCATGGTGGACCATGTTTTTAATGCAGCAGAATATAGCTGTTACTAAAAATTATTTTGGTTCATTAGAATGAAATGGTTTCATTAGAATGAAATCCCAGGATCTTAAATCCAGTGTAGTCAATAGAGAGACATCTATATAAGGATTTATGTCAAAACCAAAACAATGAAGAAAAAACCCAGAATAAGATGAGGGCCCTTCAGAGTGGTGAAGCAAAGGAAAAAAAAAAAAAAAAGCAAGCAACCAAGTTTGTAATTTTTGAAAGAGTGGTAATCTTCATCTTGTTAAGGTAGAAGAGTATGTTTCCCTCACTCCCATGCACCTGAGATGTACCATCTTTTACATTTAAGCTCTGTAGTCAGACTCGGCACTGCCAAGACTTTCCCTTGCTTGCTTCGTGACTTCTTGACTATTGTAGCATAAAACATTTTTGAATTTCTAATGTATTTATCCACAGAGAAATGCTATTGAAAGAAAAGTTTAAAAGTAGAAAAGCTCTTATGACTATAAATTAATTAAAGCTTGGTATTTCCATGAAGATTAAGTAGGCCTACTCAATGTCTTTCCCTAGGACATGTCCTTTTCTTTGTGCTGTAGTCAAGCAATTTGCTAGTCACTGAACTTGAAGTGATAGATTTTTCTGTCTTGCATTCCCTTAAGCCTTCTGTCCAAGTTCTTCTCTGACTCTAACCCCAAAATTATATTGACTCAGAGGTAATTTTTCAACAGCTTTATTCACAAAGTCTGGAAGCTTGGCCTTCTGAAAGGCCCTATTTAGATTTTCTGTTAATTTAACAAATGGAAGGGGCACAACCCAGTGTTGCAACAAACTGAAAATTTAATCTGGTAATCTGGTGTGTTTATAACCTCATTCTTGGTTCTCAGGCAGGTTTATAAACTTCTGCTTTCCATTTATAGCTGCTAAGTAAAAATACAAATTTTTGTAGTCTTGGTAACGTAGTGAGGCTATAAAACATGAAAAAGGAGAACTATCTTAGTGCAGGCTATTCCTGCTCATGGAACCACACCATGTTCACCTACTTTTCAAACTTCTGGCTCTAGATTTTGGCATTTTCTGCAACAAATGCAGAAATATCCATTTCCAAGCTGTCCAGAGGGACAACACTATGGAGGGATAAGAGGAATGAAGATGGGTTTATAACAAGGCAGCACGTGGTAGTGTGTGATAAGGTCTGCTCTGCCTTCTTTCATCACAGCTGCAGTGCTGGCTGTTGTTGGTTTTTCCATGTTGCAGGTAGGTTTCATGGTACAGCAGTTGCTCCCTGTTGCACTCCTCAGGAACAGAGATGGATGCAGACAGGGACATCACTGGTCTTCTGCTAAGGGCAAAGTATTTGAGAGCCATTTATTAGATATTCTTCATTGCAAAATACATTGTTTGATGCCAAGCTGAAGCTTTCCATGGTTGTGGAATATGGACACCTATTTTAACAGGATAGAGTCTGAAAATTTTGCTGGTTGTTCTTTTCATCCTGGTATCTCAGTATTATGCTGGAGTAAATAATTTGGATCACCAGCTCAGGTGGCATTTATACCAGTGATCTATAAACACTGAAGAACCAATATTTGGGTTTGAAATAATGTGATAAAGATGATGAAAAAGTAATCTGTAGTGTTATTCTATACTTGTGGAATATCCAGGAGGAATGTTTGAACTGATTCTAGTGTTTGCTGTCGTAACTAGAAGGAAATAGAAGGGAATTTACAATGATGTGGAGGAACAGATAAACTTTATGAACAAATGTGGCTTCTGGATTCTCCCATCATATTCACTGTAGTCTTCTAATTTACCTGATACCTACTGGATTTGTGCATCATTTATATCCTGGTAAGATACCAGGGTTGCCACGTATTCAATATTTGGCACTTTTGGTCCAGGTGGTCAGATTGCAGTGTCCCACTTCTCTCACTGGAGTAAAAGACAGGTGAGTCTCACTGCAGGTTGTCTCTGGATCTCTGAGTAATTCAGGGCTATAACTCAATGCAGGTCTTAGTAAGAAATGCCATCTCTCCAGCCTCAAGATCTGTGTCTTGCCAACAGAAAGCCACAGTGCAGAATTTGTGGATTTGACTGACAAAAGCTGTGGCTGTGTCATAGCTAACTGCTGTGCAATCTGATTTCAGACAAAGAGACAAACCATGGATTCAGTATTTGTGCCTGAAAATGGCTACCTTGATTTACTGCACAGTGATATTGATCCATTGCATCTGTGTACTTTCTTTGATACTAAGTCATCTGGAGATGAAGAAGGTGACTTCTCTACAGGTTAGTAAAACACTAAAAAAATACTTGACTGGTTTATTCCTCATGCTGTAAGTCATTGCCATCTCTTCTCAGCTCCAAAGCCACCTCATGGCAGTTTATCATGGTGACTGAGTTGAAGTCTGCAAGCATTTGCCTTTAGGATGTGGTTTGTCTGTGTACATACAGTGACTGCTTCCAGAAACTGTCACATTTTTAAATTGTACATATCCGTGACCTTACTTGCTCAGTGACTGAAAGTAGAATGAATTAGGGGTCAAGCACTGACTCATGCTATCACAGATGTTTCACCGTTTGGAATACTTTTGAGCCTCAGCAATGTCTGAGATGATGCAGGTAAATCAAATATCATCAGGACATGGCACCAGTTTCTGGAAGCTGGGCATCTCTGCTGTGAAGGTGTTACATGGTCAACTGGCAGCTTCACAGGCAATTTGCAGTGCTGTTCAGGGATTATCATGGACACAGGATTGTTCTGAACAGGGCATATCCTGAAGGATAAGAAGGCTTAATAGGCTGTATGAGTCTGGGCTTGATCATTATAGAATGGATTTGGGAAATATTTTATTTACTAGGAGAGATGAGGTCTCAGAGTTTAGCAAAAGAAAAGTGCTGATTTCCAGGTGACTAAATTACTGAGAGTTCAGTTCTGTTCCTTCTTAGCCAACACACAATGAAAAGCCAAAGCCTTCTGCTGAAGTAACAAATCTGCCTGTTCTGCAAGTCCTGCTATCTGGTTTTTTATGCTTGGTTATGGCATTCATTGAGCCAATGCATATTGACTTAACTCTAGATCTTATTAACTCTAGATCTTGAAGTTGAGGCCAGCAACTATGAACAGTTAAATAATGTGGATTTCCCATATGAAAATGGAGATGGGTTCTACCCCTGTTGCAACACCACAGATGCTTATGCTAAAATAGGTATGAAAGCAATTTTGGTTTTTTAATCTTTTTTTTACAATCATTTGCTATAGCTGTTTCTTATAAACTCTATTCTCAATCTGAAGCCATGGCATTTACTCAAGTAGCCTTTCCCTCATGTGTGATAGATCTGATTTAGAGTACCTGAACCTGTGCATTGTGGAAAAACTGATTAGCAGCTGCTTGTGGCTATTGGGGAAAAATCTCTCTACTAATATCTCCTTCTGCTTAATACTTCCGTTCTCTACTTCTCTTTTCTTGTGATTTTTATTTCCTGAACAAGTTACAAGAAAAACTTAATTTAACTCTTCCATTTTACTTACTGCAGAGTTCTGTTAATGAGGATAAGCTTACTAGAGTTTTGCTGTGACGTTTACTGTGTCATTATTGTGTTCCTCTTTTGTTTTTTTCCTTTGTTTTTAGCTGAATTAGTAGAATATGTGCTCAAGGATCAGCAGGAGAAGCAGGTCGAAGACATTTTTGGTAAGATTGATATGGCATAGGCTTTCTTCATGACAATGTTCTGTCTAGCATGTGCTTCATCCAGCCAGTTTGAACACTGGTATCTTCTTCTTTCCCCCTGGGTACAGTATCCAAGGATTTTCTTGGAAAACTTAGGATTTTATGCATTTTTGCAGGCCTTTCTCAAAGATGGCAGTTTTGTGTCTGACCAAGCTGCTGATCATGTCACCATGGCCAAAGAATATGCACAGTTTCACTGTCAAGTGCATTAATAGCCTCAAGTAGCATCACACTTACTCTGAGCACAGCAGGGATGATACATATAAGTCCCCAGAGCACTTTGCATGTGTATAAATACAGTTTACACAGTTTACACACACTGATTTCTATCCAGGATGCAAAGAACTGCCTGAGGAAGTATGTCAAGTTTTACTTCTCACCCTGATTAATGCAGCAATAATATTATATTTTTAGTAAATAATTCCTTCATCCATTCTTGACTGGAGACATTGCTTGTCTTGTGGTACCAAATCATTGTTTTGGTAGCATCACAAATACAGCTGTTTACTATTCCAGAACAGATATATCAATAGGTGGCTGTTGAGAAATCCATAGAACCAGAAGGTTCACAGAATATCTGTATATCCTATTTTATGTTTGAGCAAAAAAATTTGGACTAATTTTCCAATGGTCAGTCTTTCCCTAGAATAATCCTGGCTGTGGGAAGCTTAAGTGGCTTTTCAAATGATTTATGCTGCTCCCTTGTGTTTAGAATTTGGGGGGGGGGGGGGGGGGTTGCACCTAATAGCAATATTTTTATTGGTTTTAGAAAAAAATAGAATGTAATATTAGTTCTTAAGTATTTTCTGATAAATGTATGGTGTGAACAACTTCACAATTCTTGCAGCACAGAATATAAAATCTTTTTAGAATCCTTTATTCTGTCTCTTAAAGGATCTAATCCCTTGAGTACATAAATTGAGTAGTACTGAAATCACACTGTGACACAGCTGCAATGTTTTATCCTTTGCTTATCATTAGAGCATTGAGAAGTATTTAAGTTTTATTAGTCACTGCCAGTAGATTAATAGTTTGCAGTTCAGAAATTAACACAGGGTGATAAAGTCTGCATTCAGACCTCTGTGGGCTTTCTAAGTCATGTGGATCTGGGTACATATTTTATTGCATTATTTGATTTTTATCTTTTATTTGGAGCACATTTTATCTTTGCTCTCTGTTGTTGCGGTTTTCTTGTTTTTATTCTTCTCTGTAATTTTTTAGGAGAATAAAGTTTGACATTGGACCATATTTCATGTTTTTAGCAGGGAACCTTATTTTGGATGACATTGCTTCTGAAAACACTGAGAAATTTCCTGACATGAAGATCCAGTCATGTCTTAAACGAAGTAAGTGTAAACAGTGAGAACATGAAAGGCTTTGTGCCTGAGTTCTAAACTTGCATTACAGCCCCTTGGCTTTAGCACAGCCCCAATGCACTTGTTATGCAGTTCTTCAGTGACACCAGACTGCTTCCTCTGCCTTTGTTCATGCTTGTCAGCAGGAACTGAAAGCAGCTCTTCCAAGCGTAGAATTTACAGTTCGCAGAATTTGTTTTCCTGTAACATAACAGTAAAAATGTTCTATTTCTTTGCATTTTTGTCATCTTCATGGCAGTGTTGACTTTGTTTTCAGTGTATCTATAGCTTAGTAAGCATTGGCTGAACAATTGCTCCTTTAATAGCAAGAAGAATGGCCAAAATCTTTGGCACAAAAATCTGCAGCCTAATTCAAACTTCACAGAGTGAAATAACATGAGGCTTTTCACATTCATTTTTATACATTGGACCTGTACAGTTCTGAAATAGCTGAATTGAAACTGGCAATGCTTCCTTTCAGTTAAAAAAGTTAAAATAAGTTCCATGGGCTAAATCTAAAATTACCAAAATGTTGCCACTTACTATGACCTTGCTTGCTTTCAGCTTTCTTAGGCTCTGCAGCAGAAAGTTACTGTGATGCTTCAGAACCCAAATATAAGAAAATTGGTAAGTCATTGGCTAAATAAGAAAAGGTTATTGAACATATATTGTCTCATGTTCCAAAACCTCATCCTCTGTTAGGTACTGTAACTCTACCTTCCAGAAAAGTTTGCTCTCCTCTCATAGATTCAGTGATTTTGATCATCATGCATTTTCATGTTTATGCAAAAATCACACTTTTGGATTCCTCTTACTAATTTATGATATAACAAATCCATGTTCTCCTATCTGCAGCAATTAAATTGTGCAACTTAGGATCAGCTACAAGGTCACCTAAGAGCAGTTGGATCCTTATACTTCAAAAGTACATGTTCCTGCCAGGTGATAGGAAAATTACTTGCTTAACATCAACACAGGGACAGCTCACCTTTTCTAAATCCATATAAGGGAAGAAATAAAAATAATGGAGACCTGGGTCAGTGCCAAATTCTGTAAATTTTATCACGTACACCTTTTTTCCCACTGGATTTTTGGAAGATGTCTCACTTGGAGCAAAAAGGATCACACCCAGAAAATGTGGAGCTATGACCTGAATCATATTACCTGTCAGGTCATAGCTCCACATGCCCTGGGTTTGATCCTCTTTCTTCCAAGTGTGACCTCTTCCAAAAGTCCAGTGAAACATCCTAGTGAAAATAATAACTGTGAAGAGATGATTTATTGGCCTAGTCCATGCCATAAAGTCCTTTAAGCTAAAGAAAGAAAGGGAGAAAGGGAAATTTCTAGGTTTTGCACATTGTTAGACCATCTACAAGACAACACCTGGGGCCAGCAGGCAGGCTGGAATTTGTGCCCTAGGTGTAAACTGGTGCTAATGTTCTTACCCAGCTGTAGCCTAAAGGGGTATCTCAGGCAGTGCTAAACCAGCAAAACACTCTTCCAAAATCCAGGTGAGAACAAGCAGTTTTCACTATTTTATATTGTGGTTTGAATGGACATCTGACTCATTTTATGTCAGCACACCTCACAAGCCTCCTAAACCCTTGGGGCCATGTACATATTGGGGGTGGCCAAACCAGTGGGTAACCTAGAGATCCATCCTGAGTTCTGGGATCTGGGACTGCACCTCAGCACAGTTCAGACAAGGAGCTGGCATAGACTGCATGAAAGTCAGTGAGAAGATCCACCTGCACCATGACCTTGATCCAAGCTGGCTTTCCAGAGTTCTTGTGGAGTTCTGAGGGAGTGGGGAGGGAGAACCGAGCAGAAAAACATGTTTGCTAGCTCTGGGAAAGTTATCAGAGTTTCTACTGAACTGGTACCTTCTGATTGTATTTATTTAGACACAGGTAAAGTTCCTGGCAGTTAGCAGCCGTTAAAGGTGGATTACTTTCTATTTGCTTAAGTTCCTTTATGGATTTGACACTTTAAAAAGCTTATATTTATGCCACACTAATAATAATAGTTTTCCATAAGGAAATGGCACATCAGTTCCAAATGCTTCACGCTACAGAACATGCATTCCAGATGAAAGGATCATCACAGAGCTAACAGGTGCTTTGTGAAGCTGCACCCATCCTTTTGCTGGAAGTCCTCAGAATATTATGTTTCTCTACTGTCCTTGACCCAGTGAAGGTGCTGAGGAAGGAAATTATACATAAAACAGCATAACTACTGTGTACAAAAATCTAATTGACAAAAAGATGAGCTATTTGACAAAATCAGGAGTTTATTTAACCTGTCACGAGTGTACAATATGATCCTGCAAAGGCATATGCATCAGCTTTTCAGAAGTGCAAGACTACCTACAGCAAAGAGAATAATGTGTACTAAAGTTCAAAGTAGTAAGCCAAGGATGAGATTCTTTCAAAGGAATTGAATGAAATAGTGGCACAAACTCCACACATGTTTGTAGCTCCTGACAAAAACATCAGACCACAGAAAGTGATGAAGTATAGACTCACTTGTTGCAGCTAGACAGGGGAGGGAAACAAAAAGCAAAACCAACTCTGAGAATAGGGGTGTTGTAAAATCAATGAAACTAACAGATTAATTCAAATAAGCAGGTGTGTCTTCCTTGTTTTGTAGGAGTCTTTCGATAAAAAGGTAAAATTGTGCAATGCACAAACCTCTCACCCTATTTGTTCTATTATTGGAGGAAAAAATAAGCTGCAGAGGAGATACATCTTTAAAAGCTCTGGTGCTTGTGACTGTTCTTTGGGAGACACTTAACACACACTCTTTGTCCTTACAAGCACTGCAGTGTCTAAGTAGAGAGTCAAAGTCGCCAGCTTATTGTTTGTGGGCCTCTGCTCTTGTGGAATATTGAGACAGCAAACTGTGCTTGGAAAATCATTACAGCCAATGTAAGACATTGTTATGTCTTATCTGTCAGTCATCTATGTGTAGGGTCATGTACATCTAGATACATCTGGAAATAAGAGAGGCCAGGAAAGATGAAGAAAAAGAAAATTTAAAGAGAAACTACTGAGAAGAAAAAGTGATCTACTACAGAATTTAATAAATACATTTTAGATTCTGAGAGCTAAATAGTTTTTAGAAAGCTATTGTGAATTGCTCTTGCTTTTGGAAAGTCAAAACACAGCAGATCAGGATCAAGTGGTTGATTGTATCTACTGGGACCTCTTCTTTTGTTCCTTTAAATTCTATCAATGAGATAATTTTCTCCTTTTGTTTTGCTATTTTATTTTCAAGTGGAAGTCTCTACAGCTTCTGCAGGGAATGGCAGTTTCTTTGCTATGCCTCTCAACAGCCACCCAGTGAACTGCACCTCTCTAACTAACCAGTACATGTCCTGTTCTGTTCCTGCTGCCCATGGGCTGGAAAGAAGCCTCATAATTCCTGGTACGTAGAGTACAGCTGTAGGTGTGCACCTGTACACAGGCTGATTTACACATGGGGAAAACTTTCTTACAAATATTGTCATTGACTATGAGCAATGGCAGGTATGGCAGCTTTTAAAGGTGTGGCACTCACTCAAAGAATGTAAAATATTCAAGGGAAATTAAAAGGGCATTGCTCCTAATTGAGTACAATGAATCTTTCATTTAACTGGTGCAGGTTATAACAGAACAGTTATTTACTATATGCTAATCTAAGTAATTACTTACTTGTCTTAAGAATAGGAAGCCACAAAATTTTCATTATTAAACTTTAATATATTTCCAGTTTCCTTTTCATCCAGAGATTTGTAAAGAACTGAGGGATAATTACATTTGCAGCAGTAGAGCTAAATCTAGGCTGTGATTTAGCACATGGAAATTGAGCAGTAATCCCACTGATGGGCTGTGTAGGCAGCTGTCCTGGGCCATGCTGGGTAGCAGAGGGTGCTCCTGGTACACTGAGAAGTGCTAATGACAAAGGCCCACTTTAACACCTTTCACTGTTAAGTCTGTGCTGGAAAGGAACCAGTGTGTAAGGTGGAAGTCTTGAAGTATACCTCATGCGAGCTGAAGCAGCATAAAGTAATAGAAGAAATTCTGTCCCACCTACAGAAACTCAGAGCTATGGCTGATTAAATTGCAAGCTTTGAATCATCAAAAAACTTTCCCAGTGTGGGTTGAGGGGGAGGATGCTTGTACAACCTGCATGATGTGCAGTTGTTTGGGAAGGAAGGTAAATTTAATGCAGATGCATACTGTTTACACATTTTCTCTTCTCTGTATCTTTAAATATATATTTACAGACTTTGCCTTAAGCACATTTCCTTATGAGAATAGAATTTCTCTTTAGATTATTGAAAACAGTGGCTGCTAAAAGCTGGGTAATCCCTTATATTTCAAGCTCATCATACCTTGTAAGAGTTCTTTTTTAATGGGTTCTATGGACCTCATGTGATCCTGTGAATTCTCCACCAGGAAGATTTGCCTAGAAGCTGTCAGAAAGGATAAGTACCTGTTAGAAAGCTTTTTCGCTCTCATAAAGCTTTAGAAAGCACAACCCTTTAAAAACAGAAGAGTAATTGTTCTGTATTCATTTCAGGATTGTCAGAACCTTTGACCACAGAGTGCCAACCAGTCAGTGTGAAAGGGTACCAAGAGAATCTAGGCTTGGCAGGTCCTCCTCAGCAGATATTTAACTTTGTTCTTGAAAATGGTACATCTGATGTTATAGTATATCCAGGTAAGAGAAATAGCTGTTTATCCCCATAAAGAGGCATAAAGTGCTAAAAAAAATCATTGCTGCCAACAGCAGCATTGATTAAATTCAGTTACTGATAGCTATGATATGCTGAAAAGTATGCTTTATTTTTTGCCAGTGCTGACATCTTCCATGGAAACATTCATGTCTCCAAGTTTTCCAGTTAATTTATGTGGTAAGTGGAAAATTGGGGTTTATATATGTGCAGCACTTTGAAATGGGAGAGAAACCATATTGTTTCTAATCAAAGCCAGTTCTCCCCTCCAGGCTTTACTCATACTGACCTGAAAAAAAAAACCAAAAATTGATGGTATTTCCTTCTTTGTATTGATTACTGGCTGCTTAGTCTGATCCAAAATGTACAGATAAGAGTTGTAGAACTTCAGGTTCAGCAGCCAAATCCCTGTGTTTTCTATGACATCCAGTTTCTGGAAGAAGTTAGGTTTAGTTAAAACAATGCAAAGCCCAGGGTGCTGGAGCACCCTTAGAAAGTGGGAGATGATCTGATGCTGGCATGGCCTGAGCATCTTAAATGCTCAGTGCTGGCAGCCAGAGTGCAGCTAGATCCCATGGAAGCCCTAAAAACAACATGATGATGACTTATTTAGCTAAGCAATACTGAAATCTAATGCACAGAAAGGCTTATAATGAAATTAGAGCCTTGGTCAGAATTTAGCAGTCCCACTTCAGGTAAAAGACTTTCCTGAGACACTTTTCTTCCATCCCTCAGAGGGCTGTTGGAATCCAGAGTTTGATAGCAGTTTTGTTTCTGGTCCCTGTGCCCAGTGCAGGAGTTTGTTGCCCTCTTGTGGCTTCCACTATCCCAAAAGCAAAAGTATAACATGGAGATTAAGAGGCAAATATCCCTAGCTAAATTTGTAAATTGTATTTGCTGTTTATGTAAATAAACAATGCCAATAATTCGAACTGATTTACTGCAGCACAACAAACGTATGCCACAAGCCCTGGAATTCCAGATGCAGCAACAGACAGATTAGCACGTAAGATGCCAAGCCAGTTTCTTTGTCTTTTTTAAAATTCTTCACTCCTACCTGCTTTGACCATTTTTCCATCTAAATGTCTCATTACAGATTTTTTTTTCTGTTCTTCCATTCTGTTTTCTTAGTTAATAAAATAAACAGTAAATCAAAACCGAACACTTGCTTGCCCAACCCATCTTTATTCAATATCTTTCTTACTGGAAGCTTGTGGTGCTTCCTTTTTAGAAGCAATTCTGAACTTAAACCATTCTGAAGGTTGCTGACATGGAGGGTAGGAATTCATTTCCAGATCTCTGAAACTGTAAGATTTGTATTTCTTTGAGACCACATTCTACATCAAAATGATCAAGATGATATTCTGGTATGAAACATATTTAGGGAGATTAATCCCTATTTAATATTAATCCATATTTAGGGAGATTAATCTGTATTGGGTAAATTTTTGCACATCTCTGCTGTGTGTGGTTACAAGACTCTGAGGCTGAGTTTGTTACAGCCTTTGTCAATTTAAATTCTGTCTTGCATCTGCAAAACTCTTCCTACCAAAAGTTTTGTCAAAAGTGATGCTCTGCAATTACCAATCTGTAGAAAAATGTGTTCTTTCTGAAAAATTCCCAATTTCTTTGAGTAAAAGAGACATTGTTCACCTGACCCAGCTACAAAAGTCTGTAGTAGTTTGAAAGCAAACAGGTGAAAAGAAAGTAACTGGACAGCAATATGACTTTGTCAGGGAGAGTCATGGGTAAATACTGTTACCAAGAGCCACTTCTCTGCAACTTTCATCTTTAGTGCTTGGTTACAAAGTGTGGAATAACAAAAGGAAGCTATTGCTTTTGAAGACATAAAGAAGCACTATGTGTGAACATGAATTTATGCAAAACACTGACATTTGAAAAGAACAGTGGATGTCACCTGATGATGGTAAATCTGCTTCCCACAACTGTCAGAACAGCTGTTGTCTTGTTTGATGCCATTCTGCCTCTAACTGCACATCAGCAGAATTCTACTTGTGGGAGAATTTTATTCATTTTCTTGTAAAATTAACAAAATATCTCTTACTCTGAATATATGCTACAATGAACTTGGAAATTTGCATTAATCTTATCATTAAAATTAGTAAAGCTGAATCGGTGATTATTTAGATGTCTTTTTCAAGTATATTGTTTTGTTTCTCCAGATTTAGAGGAATTTCAAGAAGTTCAAGATTCCATAATTTCTTCTGAAGAACCTTTCAAAAGACCAGGTGAGTTTAGGCTCTTGAACCTTCCAGTATTTTTTGGAAAAAGATTCTGTCTTTCTTTTCATACAGAGAGCAATTCAACAAATTGTGAAGCTGTTCTGAGGGTCTGAGCACAATTTCTGGTTTCAAGATATTAGACTTGGCTTCCAGTAGATATCTAGCTGCTACCTGCTTAGCAGCTCAGTGTACTTCATTGGTTTTATCATGTGTACATGAGAACTCCAAAATTATTCAGTTAATAGATCTGAAAGTTTCTCTTGTGTCTGCACTTCTCAGCTGCAGTTGCATGAGCTAAATCCAGCCCTATGGGCTTTATGGGAATGCCTGTGCTTTCACCATATTGCAATCAGGTACTTAAGCCACCTCGAAATTATGTTGTAGTTTTTGGACTGGTTCCTTCAGTTTCTGTGTGCTCTTTATTTCTCTAGAGCAAGTGGAAACTTTCTGTTCATCCCTTAAGGATTATTTCCGAGACACCTGCAAATCTGTGACCATGGAGCGGGAAGTAAATCTGGATCACCTGTTCATTGATAGGACACTTGTTCAAAGTCAAACTGAAACCAAGACTGGAAAGAATAGTGCAAAAGCAATGGAAAAGGAGCTGGTAACCTGCAGCCTGCAAGAGAAGGAAAAGACAGCCATTGATAGAAGCCAAATATTTCAAATCCCACAGCGTAAAGACTTGGAGACTAAAGTGATTGTGGTTCTGGGAAAGGCAGGAATGGGCAAAAGCATTCTCATTCAGAAGATCTGCCAGGACTGGTCCAATGGAGAGTTTTCTCAGTTTGAATTTGTATTTTGGTTTGACTGCAAACAACTAAGTTTGCCTGAGAAGCAATACAGCCTGAAGGAGTTGCTTCTTGAATTTTTTGTAAAACCTCAAGAGGGAAGCAAAGAGATCTTTGAGTATATGTTGCAAAATCCTGGTAAAGTCCTTCTGATTTTTGATGGTTTTAAAGGATTGCATGATCATGAGAATTTTCCTCGTTGCTCAGCCAGCCAGCCTGAAAAGGATTTATGCAGTATAAAGGAGCTGCTCTCAGGACTCATCCAAAAAAAGGTGCTCAATGGCTGTACCTTATTATTTACAGCAAGACCAAAAGACAAACTGTACCAGTATATGTCCAAAGTGGATAAGACTATTGAAATTGTAGGATTTTCTCCTCAGCAGAGAGAATTGTACATAACCAAATACTTTGAAGAATCACTCTATTGTGATAGTGCACTGAAATTAATCAAAGAGTGTGAGTACTTGTTCAGTCATTGTTACAGTCCTGTTATGTGTAGATTTGTTTGTTTTCTCTGTGAGATAGTGCTTGAAATGGGAGAGAACAGTCTTCCTTCAACTCTTACTGAAGTCTTCCTGAAATTTTTTCAGCAGAAGATCATGTTTATGCAAACAGATGTTACAACCACACAAAATCAAGAGAGTCTTGCTACCCTAGCTCGTGTAGCCTGGTGTCTTGGAGAAAAGCACCAAAGTGCCATGAAAAGTGATCTTATTCCTTCTAAGGAAGTTAAAGAGTTTGCTCTGAAGTATGGGTTTTTCCTGCCATTTGCATTGCCCAGACATTCAGATAGTGAAGAAGAGGAATTTGGGAGCACATTCTCTGATTTTGTCATTCAGAATTTCTTGTGTGCACTTCACCTTTTGCTAGCAGAAGAGCTCAAGGATAAAAATCTAACAAAGTACTTGTCTTTTCTATCAAAGAAGAAAAAACCTTATAACTGGTTAGATTTAATGCCTCGATTTTTGGCTGGTTTGATGTTTCTCCAGGATGACCCCTCCTTCTGCTCTCTTTCAAATGAGGATGAAAAACAGTCAACCAAGAAGCAGAAGACACTCTTGAAATACATCAGAAGGCTGCAGATTAATACTCTCTGTCCAGAGAGGTTGCTGGAGCTTTTATGTTGTGTTTATGAAACACAGAACAATTATCTTCTGCAGCATGTGGCCTTGAGACTCGAGCCAGAATTGTCTTTTCTGGGCATAGTTCTTACACCACCTGATGTCCATGTACTTCACTCTGTTTTGAAAAGGTCAAGAAAAGAGTTTTCCTTGGATTTGCAGAACAGCAGCATTGACATGCAAGGGCTGCAAGCCTTGGTCAGCCTAAGGAATGTGACATCATTCAGGTTGGTCACTCTCTGTACCCCATAGCTCTGGGTATAGATGACATTTTCATGCAACAGCAGCAGTCACATCTGTTGGTTTTGCATGTTTTGTCACTTCACAGGGCTTCCCTCAGTGACACAGTCAGACTCTGGAAATCTTTGGAACAGACAAAAGACTACGAACTGCTGAAAGCATCCACAGAGAAATTTGTTCTTGATCCCTTTAAGGCAAAGACAATGAAGGACATCAGTGACCTCTCCGACCTTGTAGAGTTGCAGGAGAAGATGATGAATTGGTAGGATCATTTGTGATCAAAACTCCTCTTATATCAGCAGTTTATGAAAACAGGGTTTCACCACCAGTCCTGGACAATGGAATTGTCTGCTTGTCCAGAGGAGAAGTAATTAAGGCAGTGCAAACTCCTGGGTCATCTCAGGGGGTTCTCCTACCCCCGTGTGAGGTGGCAGTCATGGCAGGGATGAGCAATGACAGCACCGTGCAGAGCAGGCATCAAAACTGCCACTGAAAGAGCCAGCTGTCATTTCTCTTTAAACTCTGAGTATGCCATCTTCCAATTGCTTTCAGTTACATAACTTGGGCTGATTCTTTCTCCCCGTAGTACCTGGGCATGAACAAAAGCCTGTTTAGCACTGGTTCCAAAAGGCCTGAGTCAGTCCTTTAGCCCAGGAGGTAAAATCTTGTGTTACATAGACTAGAAACCCTGTGCTCAATCCCTACTGCTGATGTAGCTGGGGGATTGGTTGCAATTAAAAAACATGCAGAAGTAAAATTTTGTTGTTTGTTTTGGGTTTTTTTAAATTATGACTTCTATTTTAACATGGATGGAGTATTTTGATTAAACTATAGATAAAATAGTTGCATGTTTGACAGAAAATAGTTGATTTAGAAAAATGTATTTTTAAGTTTTATTGGAAAATGAGCAAGCAATTGCCCTGTGAAAGGCAATTATTGGATTGAAATTATTCAGTTGAAGAAAGGTTGGAGCAGAAGTTACTCTGAAGTTTCCTGGTTCCTCAGTTAATGCAACAGTGATTTATTTTCTGTAAACATTTGCTAACAAATTGTTTTTAAAGCACTGTTTTGGCTGCTAAAATATTTATCATACTCTGATTCTACTGTAATTAATTTAGTGTGCAAGAAGCATCTGGTTGCACCAGCTATGAAATTCCTGCCATCAGAAACCTCAGAAAACTTGAATTTGCGTAAGTGCTGAACTTCTACTGATTGAGGTGGTCATGTTTTAGGAGGAGCAGTCATGGGTGTTGGCTACAGCCATTGCACTGATGTATAGTCAGCTTAAAGCATTATGTAAACCCCATTTATTGCTATCTTGCTTTTCTCTGAACCAGATTTATTAATGTATGGCCCAAACTCAAAGAACATCATTTCTGGCTCCTGCTGCAATGCAGATCAACAGGGCTCTACGAATTTTTGTTGTTTTGATACAAGTTACCTCCTGACCACAAGGTACTGATCTTGTGCCACAGGGCATAAAGTATTTTGACTGTGATCCAACTACCTGGGAAATATTTTTTCCCCCAGAAATACTAAACTTTTCTGTCTGAGTCTTCTGATGTGATTGTCTGCCCTATCAGAGCTCAGGCCATGAGAGGATTACATCAGAGGATGCCTCCCAAATAAATTGTTTAGCACCCTTTTCCTGGAAGACAGAAGGTTGACTTAGTAACACTACTTTAAATGTGAAGTTTTAGTAACACTTCTCTTTTTCCCCCCAAACTGTAAGCAGCCACCAAGGCTATTCTATTGCTCAAAATAGCTTGCCATAGTGTGTGAATTAGTTTGGGCAGAAACTGCATCAGTGCAATGGAGAATTCTCATCAGGTCTTCACCTGTTTCCTGCTCTGTAGATCGAACCCAACCTGGGACACCTATGCTTGGCCTCACTTTTGGTTTCATGCTGCTTTCTCTTCTAATTTCCTCTTCTTATTTCCTTTTATTTAAATTTTGCTTAAAATGCTAATCCTTTTAAATAACTGAACTAGTTCTGATACTAAAGAAACTCCAAATAGGATATGAGAGACAAATGCTTGGAACATGAATATCAAAGTGAAATTTATGCTTTAAGCTGCAGTAAAATGTTGATCTTAAGTTAGACTGAATTGTTAGTAGTTGGGGGGAAATATCTATGTTTTCAGTTGTATTGAGATAGATATGTATTTAATCTCAAGATTATACTCACAGTGAAAAACCTGAAAAAGATAGAGAACAGAAATAAAAGAATCTCTAAAAGTGAGATAAATCTTGCAGAGAGGAACAAAAAGTGGCAAATGTCCCACTGCTGCTGTGCAAGCTCTGTCCTACCTGGTCTTAGCCTTGCTGGTCCTCATCTGGAGGCTTCACAGCAGAATTCCTTGGTGCAGGTGGTAGGCAATGGTTACTTCTCAGGAGTGTAAAGTAGCTTGCAATGGGGGCTGCAGGGAAAGAACTCAAAAATTCCTGAGTTTTGCTGCTTGTGAGCATGTGAAAGATCTGCTGCATGTCTATATTTTCTTCCAGGCTGGGTCCAGCATGTGGCCTTCAAGGATTGCTAAAACTCGTGAAAATTCTTGCAGCATTTCCATCACTTCAGCATTTAGAGTGAGTTCTGCTAAAGATTCATTTTGCTAACATTTCTCCTCAGTAGCCTTTGATGATGGAGAAGCTCTTGTAGCCAAGAAACATTTTATTTGCCAACAAGACACCTTGTTTGATGACCAAACTGAACAGCAGAAACATTCCAAACTGTTAGAGCAGCCTAAAAGGTGCCACTCCCCATCTTCCCTGGTGGTCTGTTCAGAACCCTCAGTCCCTTCCTGGGGTGTTCCTGGGTGGGTAAAGGTTCAGTACAGAGCCCCTGGGGTCCCCACCACTGACCAATGGCCTGCAGTGACTTCTGACTTCACTGGAGCTCCAGAACATCCATGACAAACCAACTATCTTAGTTTTAAGCTTCTTTACACTAGAAAGTGTACCAGCAGTAGTCAGGGTTGTGCCATGGAACCTGTGGGAAGGTCCCTGGGTCTTGAGAGGCACTTTGGCTTTATGCAGCCCATTGGCTGCATTGGTCTGTATTGTAGCTGGCCTTTTCATGGTATTTCAGGAAAACAATAAAATATTTAATACATTCAGTATATCCCAGCATTATCTGTCAGATTAGAAGGGGATCCAGTATCTGAAATTGTGACTAGATAAGAGGAAAACTTCATTTTTAATACTCCCTCTCTGGAGAAGGAGCTATTTAGGCAAGGATTTACAGCCTCTGCTGGATTTTGTCAGTTCTGTATTTTTGTGTGCACAGGAAATCTCCTTTCAGCTTAGCTGGAACACAGCTATTTCATAACTATTTTAATAATCATGCATATCAAAGGAAATGGGTCAAGGCATTCAACTAGTAAAAAAAAAAATTCTTTTGCTTTAAATTTGGACAGCAGAAAGCTGCTTATTAGAGACGCTGTAATTTGTGTGATGCTTCATGCCAATTGAGGTTACTGCAGAGAAGCTTTTCAAGATAGATAGAGTGGTCTCTGAGGTGAATAAACCACAAAAATTTAGATTAAAAGGGAAGCTAATTCTCTTTTTGTTGTCACACAGCCTTGATGCTCTGAGTGAAAATAGCATAGGAGATGAAGGAGCAAAGAGTCTATCTGAAGTCTTTCCAACCTTGACATCACTAGAAACATTAAAGTAAGTGCATTAAAGTAACATTAAAGTAAGGTTAACAGTTCAGGGAAATTTTGAGAATAAACAGATTAAACCTAGAGATTTAAGGGACTGTCTGTTAACAACTATGGGCTAAAGTATCCCATGGGCATGGAAGACCAATGGGCCTATGGAGATACTTAATCAGTACATTCATTAGACAAATAGATTAATCCTTCCTGACCTCTTCAAGGGCTCTGTCTTGCCTTTTTCTCTGGATTTGGTCTAAACAGACTGTCCAAATTATATTTTTTTAAATTTAAAATTAATTTCCTCCACATTGTAATAAATTAGTGTGCTTGACTAACAAGTGATCTCACTTGCTGTAGTTTATCACAGAATAAAATAACAGACGTGGGTGCAGAGAACCTTGCTACAGCTCTCCCTTCCTTGTCTTCCTTAAAAACACTAAGGTGAGTAGTTGTATCCTGTTGAGTTGTTTTGAAAACATACCTTGCTGTCTCTGTCAGAAACTACTGAACAGGGAAAAAAAGAGCTAACACTGGGCAGCAGCCAAGCTTTTCACTTCATTCTTGCATAAAGGCTTCAGAAAGAAGAGAGGTATGACAGACATACAGAAGGATATCTGGGAATACAGCAAGGACTGGACGGATGTTTAGATCCAGTCCATAATACCCACTCATGAATCATGCCCTGCACAGATGTGCACCCAGGGCCACCATCTGCTGCAAACCCAAAGCTGTCTGTGTTTGCTGATACAGGGACAGTGATCCATCCCACTGCACTGGGAATTCTGGCACTGGCCGGAGTGAAGCAGGGAATGCAAGAAACCTTGGTGTGCATTTCTGGAGTAGTTTGGTGATGTGGAAATTTTCTGAATGCTGTACCCCAAATCTTTGAGCTTCATTTTTTGGCAGATTTAAAATTTGATCTGTGTAGACAGAAATTTCTTATTATCCATAGAACAGAATCTAGACCGTTTTTTGCTGTACCTGTGCTAGGTGAAGAGGGATGTGGCCATTTACCTTACTTGATACAGGAAAAATGAATGTGTGTTTTAAACTTTAATTGCAAATAAGGATAAAATGAAAGTTAAGCTATACTTGCCATATTTGAAAACCCTTCATCTAATATCTGTGTACATTATCCATTATTCAATTGTGACTATTCTGGTTTGGTTTTCTGCAGCTTGTACAATAACAACATTTGTGATTTTGGAGCAGAAAATCTGGCAAAGGTTCTTCCTGCAATGACATCTTTAAGAGTGCTAGAGTGAGTATGAAATCTTTTGAGATGGCCCAGGAAAGCTTACTTCATTGGAGACTGAAAATACAAATGTTCCATGTTTCATTTTGGAGGAGACAGAAACTGAGGAAGAAGATGTTGGGAAAATTCCACAGGGGAAATGTGCTTCTGCAGAGTCCAGATAGTCAGTGATTAGAAAGGATTAAGAAACTGTTCACCATAAACCCAGAAATATTGGTGTTAAGGTGGGAGAATAGGCTCATGGCGGAGCTAGAGAGTGACCTCAGGACCATGGTAAAAGGAATCCCTCAGATTAACATAATGAAGTTCCCATTCAACCTTCTGAGTATATTATTACAGGGTTTTTGAACTGACAATCTATTTTGGTTTTTTTCCTTTTTCTTCCTTATCCCATCTGCAGATTAACCTATATAGTATTTTTTATTTTGAATGAAATGTTTGATTACATGATTTAATTTGGATTAACAAAGTTGTTTTTATTCCTCAGTGTTCAGTATAACAAAATAACTGGTGTTGGAGCCCAGCAGCTGACTGACAGCCTACGAAAATGTCCCCACATGAAGAACTTGGTGTAAGTCTCTTGACAGACTGTTTGCTGTACCTTCATCCTGTAAAACTGGGTTAGCCATCATGCTAAATCTGTATGTCAGATTTAAAAGAGGCACAAATGAAGACATCACCAAAATACAAAAGCAGGGATGTTAAAAAATGTTGTCTCTGGTTTCAGCTGACTTAGTTCCCAGTAATTTGAGGGATAAACAATGAACGGCCATCACTACTGGTTAAATAGACTGAAGCTACCATACACATTCAGAGGAAGAGAGTTTGATGAAAGGTTAAAAAACAGGTACAGAGACAGGAGTGCAGTTGTGTTCTGTAACCAGAGTCAACAAGATTATGGAGTACTGAACTGCTTTTTTCTAAATCAAAATTTTCCTTTGCTCCATAGTTTATATGCTTTCATAGCATGATAGTAAAGGGAAGAGCAACTTAAAAAAAAAAGAAGAAGAAAACAACATCAACAACAACCAAAAAAGCCACAAACACATCAAACACACCAAAAAAAGGTGAAGCAAATTGCACTTAAAATCTCTTTCCTTTCTGAATTTGCCCTTACAGGATGTGGAATCCTACCATTCCCTATGGAGTTCTTGAACACCTTCACCAGCTGGACTCCAGGATCAGTGTGTAGATTCAGAGGATTCCATAAAGGTAACAAACTTTGGCTGCCTGAGACAACCAGGTTTGTTTCTGTGGGAGCTGTTGATTCCAGGCTCACTGGCAGCAGGCACAGTAACAGCAGCCATGTGTTTGGAGATGGTGCCCTAGAGTGGCACAGATCAATGTCACATCAGGCCCCCTTTCACTGCACTCACCTTGCACCCCCCACCTCTCTGGCACCTTCACTAGCAGACTGCAAGTGCTTTATTAAGAAAAATGGACCTCTAGAACTCCCAGTCCAGCCCAGTTCAGTGACTGGCAGCTGCCCTGCTTACCTTCTTTTTTCTTTTGTGGAAAACTAAAGCTCTGTGTATTTCTCATGTTTAATAGATGAGTTCTCTACTCCTCAGAACTTGTTTTGTGTTGAATTTTAGTAAGTTCTTCCACTTTGCCTTTATTGAATACAAATCCTCAACAGCTGCTTGTCTGACTATGCAGCTGTACCTGTAGTGTACTCAGAGCAAAACACACCTTCCTACATTCCTTGCTCTCAGTGTCATTGTGTGATTTAGCCACTGGCAGCCACTTTTACTTCATTGATCCTGCCTGCACAGTTTCAAGGATCCTTGAAGTAATTGCATTGTGAAGAATTTAATAAGTTTCTCAATGATTACCAGGATTTGATGCCTTGATGGTCCTGGACTGAAGGGGCTGCAGCCAGCAGGGGAAGTTGGGGAGTTCGTGTAGGATTTCTCTTCCCAGTTTTCTGCCATGTGCTTCCTCTTGCTCTTAAAAAAAAAAATTATGCATGTTGCATCAGCTAAATGATCCTAGTGAAGAATGAGATGCCATAGTCAAGCCAGATATCAGATGTGCTCCAGCTTTCTTTAGATGGCCAGGATCCAAATTGCAGTGTGCTCACCAGCTGCACGAGCCATGCTATGAATGGGCCTGGCCAGGGGATAGCTGCTGCTGTCAGTGGCTCCTGGGCCATGCAGTGAGCCAAGCCTGTGCATGACCCCTGCTCTCACTGCAGTAATCTCCAGATGTAGACTGGGCTGTTCGTATAGCTGCAGTTGTGGAAGATTCAGGTGCTACAGCAGCTTCACAGACCAGCTTTTTACAGCAGCAGTGAAAAGTTGTGGTGCTCCTTACTAGCCTACAGTCACTAAATCTTTATTCTGTTGAACTACCCTAACTCCTTGAGAAAAGAGATACTAGGGATATGATCACTGTGAGGAAACCTGCATTAGCTCTGAGGATAAATAACACCAGGAACTCTGGAACTCCTGTCTCCCAACCTTGAAACATTCAGTATCCACCAACCACTGTTGTCTGTTTACAGAGCTCATTAAATCTATGATTTTTTGTAATTTTAATGAGGGTTAATCCGATGTGTGTACATCTAATGTTCTGTTTTCATCATTTCACAGGTGTCATAAAGAAAAGGGGAGGGTGTCCTCTGTGCTTTCCTGTCTTCTTGCTGCTTTATGAATCAGTGTTCTCATGTTTGTTGCAAAAAATCACATTTCAGTTTCTAAGCAATGCTTAAATTGGGTGAATTACAGCGTTTTAAAATGCTATTCCAAGACCCAACTGTATTTCTACTTAAGTAGTAAAAATTAAGTAACATCAAAGATGAAAAGAGCATCTGGATACTGTGACCACCATTAAAGGAGACCAGGAACCACAAGGATATTGTGAGTATAAAAATCCATCATTGAGTCATCGAAGAGGAAACTGAAAGTTGCTCAACCTGCAACATCTGAAGCACTGACAGATCAAATCTGAATGTTTTCTCCATGGTGCCAGTGGTAACTACCATCAAATTTGCTCTAATGATTTTGGACTTTCAAAGCTCAGTGTTACACATTTCACCTGTCTGTATGGACTCATTGGAAGCACTAGGGTGAGGAGCATAAAAAAGAGTCATCAGCCCTAGAAAATGTTCTGATAAGATTATCCACAAGCATCTAGAAGCTGCTCTTTTCTTCAAAATAATCAGTGAATCTAGAAGCTGCTCTTTTCTTCACTAATAATCAGTGCTGCCTTAAGGGATAGAAACATCTTCTATGATTTGTTACAGAATCCTTCAAAAAGATTGGAAAAAAAAAAAGTAATGAGAAGAAAGGAATTGAAAGTGAAAAACTGTGAAGTATTCTTCTAACATTATTGCAGAAATCCAAATAGATAAAAATAGCCAGTTCATTGCACACAAATCCTCAAACGATCTTTGAAGGTTTTTACTTTGTCTCAAATGAGAACTCTAAAGTCATATACCTGGATTGATATTTAATTTCTTAAATGCAGCTGGCAGCATAAATGTTTACAAGCACCAGTTTTATACTTGACAGTGATATCACTACTGTGTGTGGTTTATGTGGCCTTCTGGTTCAGAGTTATAAGTAACCAGGCAATCAGACAAAAGCACATTTCAAAACACATGTCTATGCTGCTGGTCTCAGTCATAATGTGGGCCAAATATTCATCCTTCTGACTGCAACAGCAAACCACTTGTCTCTTTTATTCTTTTATTTCTTCTCTGTGAACATGAAGAGAACTTTAAATTGTGCAGAGGCAATTGGCAGGTCAAGAGCACCATTCTGGATTCCTATCCAGACACAGCCTGAGACAGAACAACAAAAAGCTAGGAATGCTCAAAATGCCACAAATGGGGAAGTCTTTATTTCACAGTTAGCTCAGAGTTAGTTCAACAACCTCTTTGAAATCTCTTCTGCTTGGAAGCACTGACAATACTGACCCAAGTGCAAACTAGAATCTCTCAAATACTCTGTTTCTTGATCTTTAAAAATTCCCAGATTTAAACAGTTCAAAATCACAACAGTCATATTCTTTCCAGCAAGTTCTACTCCTCTCTTAAGTTTCAGTGCCTGCAAAATCTTGACAGCAGGGATGTGGACAAATTAAAGAGAGTGGACAAATTAAAGAGAGGAGGGAGAAAGGAAGGTCTGTTTGTTGTTTCTGAGAGCAGGGAATCAGGCACGTAAAGGAACAGAGAGCAAGGAGCAAAAACTCTGTGGAGAATATGATTGTAATTAGAATGAGGTATTTTTCCTAATTACTTGCATGGTTCTTCTCTGTAGCCAAACTCTAGCCAGAGCCATGCATAAAAATCTTATTTATCCTCTCCTCTTGGAGCTGCTTGAATGGGAGGTAGTTTGAGCCAAATCTGGTGTGGTAGTCCTGTTAGCCTGCAGCACTCTCCCCATGCACATCTGTGGTGAGCCCTTGTCTTGACCTCTCCTAACTAAGATTTGGATGACAAATGCTCCTTTAGGGATATATTCTGCAGCTGCACTTTACCATGACTGAGTCTGAAAATGTGCTAAATATTCCACAGGCAGCTGAATGTTAGAGGGTGCTGTCTGGACTACTAAAATCATGTTGGCTGTACTGCTGTTCTCTGAGTTAGTGGGAGTTTTATAATGTATAGGAAGTTTATAATGTACAGATTGTAAATTTTCATACAGTGTTTTGGTTGTCTTTACACATCTTTTTTAAAGTATTAATAAAAGTAAGTATTCTGTTTAACAGTACCTTCTAGTACCTGTTGAAAATTATTTTGATTTTTCTCTTGGGAACACTGTGAAACCACACAGCAACTGCTGGCTTCTGCCACAGTAACAGGTTTGGGGCTTTGTTTTGCAGGTTAGTGGAAAAAGCTGTGTGTGAGGGAGACAGGATGGGCCTGCTGGCACTGAACAGTTCAGTGGGCTGGAAGTGGAGAAATAATTCTTTCTTAACAGGAACAAGTTCTTGCAATGCCAACTGACAGACTCTAAGTTCAGGGTCAGGAGATACAAATGTGCTGACTGAGGCCACCTGCTAAAAAAAGCAACAAGGGCTTTTCATCCTTTCTCAATCTTTGGAGTTAAAAGTTCTAAAATTAATCCAGGTGTAAAGTCTAGATATTCTTATGGCACCAAGCTCCTCCAAAATGTTTTTGTCAAATGAGTGCTTTATGTATAGAAACCGAAGTCACTGGGTACCTTCTAAGAAACTTTTAGATCAAATCTCTGTTCTGAAAAAATACTTTAGGATGAGAAAAATTCTGCTCTCTTTATGTCCATCTATTTTTGTTGTCAAAGAAGCCTTGCTAAAATGCCAAGGATTGTGTTACCATGGTTGTCAGAGTCTGTAACACTCTCCCCATCCTTTAAATGCGTGAAGCTGAGCTGTTCTGAGAAATCGGAAATCTTGGTCTAAGAGTCAGAATCTCCAAAGTGACAGACTCGGGGAAATTTGTGTTGTTTTATTGTGCACTGTGTGGCACAAACCCACTGCAGAGAATGTATTACAAACTCCTAGGTACTGCAGTAAGTACCAATAGTGACAAACTGAGCCATGTTCTTAAAAAGGCATATGTGGGACCCTGAAAAACTAGTGAAGCCATCTCTGTGAACACTATGAATTAATAATTATAGAGGCAGCAGGAATGCCCCCTGCAGTAGCAAAATTCAGCCTTTACTGAGTTATTACCAAATGGGCACATGAACACATGCTTGACAAGTTTGTAAACTTGGTTATTCTTTCTATAGGCACCTAAATGGGGACTTGTCTTCCATAAATGTATCATTATGTGTGTTAGAATATTGTGCCCTAAGTGACTTCATTCCTGAATTACTGTCCAGGGACTGTGTGGAACAAAACACTTGTCAGTGTTTAAAGGTCTTGAACTGCACCTGATGAAACCTGTCTTGGAGAAATGCTGTTTGGCTCAATGTCAGTTCTTCCCCTCTTGCAGGAGCAGCTGAAAATTGCACGTGGAGCACAGAATTTTGGGGACTGGGAGCTAATTTCTACTGCCTAGGAGCTAAAATGTGCTATTTGAATGCAACACACTGGGAGTATCAGGATACACAAGTTTGTCATTGTTCCATGGGGGATCTAAGCCATCACCCTCTTGTTCCCTCATACTGGCTGAAAAGAGACTCCTGACACCATCTGTCTGCAGTGGGGAGCCCACACTGGAGCAGATGGCCAACACAGACTGCAGAGGACAGACATCATGCAGAGAGTGTCAGCAGAACTGTTTTTAATTCTGCTTTATCCAAAATGTTCTTGATACATTAAGTCAATTTAAAAATTGCAGTTACATAAATCAGACTTTTCTAAAAAGTATAATGGCAATTAAAAAAACCAGTCTAATGTCTGCCCTAATAACATGTGAGTTACTCCCCCCTCCCTCCATCAGTGCCTGATGTTTCACTTCAGATCTGATTTTTTAAGTAGCTGTTCATGAGAAGGATTTCCTACTTGCTGGCCATCTCAGCAACTGGAACTACTTGCAGGTACCTGCAGGAAATTCCTTGAAAGTATATTTCAGCTATTTTCTTTTCAAACTGAAGAAGAACAACTCCAACACAACTGCTTAATTTTTCATGGAAAAGATCAGTCTTTATTGTATTGCTTTCACATCTGTACATAGGAATGTGAGCTTAAACAATCTGCAAAGTATCCTGTGTTAAATAATGATTCCACCTGACTTATATAAAATTCACTCTCTGATCTATTTCAAAACTCTCATTTTAAATAAAATATCTTACTAGCACAGTTCTTGCCATTATACTCCCTGAACAGAACCTCCTTCAGTCACTCCTGCATATTTTCCCCTGAGAAAGCACTGCTTTTAAACTACTGGCTGGTAGAATTTTCAACATGTGATTGTAAAACTGGCTGAAGCTATATGTAGAATGTGTCCATTTGGGTGACATGGTATTAATTCAAAAGTTTATCAAATCTGGGTAACATCTTGATTTTCTGTTACATTGGAACATAGATTATCTTATTTTTTCATACAGTCTATCCCAGAATTACCTATGGAAGCCCAGCATGGTGCATGAATCACTGCAGTAAGTGCACACACAAGAGGCAAAGTCCATGAAGAGAAGTCACAACTGACAAGGTCTGATGACAACTCTTCTTGTTCTCTTGTCCTTTTTTTCATCTCTACATTTCAGAGCACAGTTTCTTCCCTGGACTTGATCCATTAGCCTGGTCATAATCCATTTCAGGTGTTTAATGAATCTGTTTAAAAGAAAACACAAACACAGAGTAACCCTCCATACCTAAAATTAACAGAAAAGTCACTGAAGTATGTGACATACAGAACCATGTTGTTGACTTATTAGAAAAAAATTTTTAAATCAAACCCTTTTGTGACTATGGGTAATAATTCATTGAGAAGTAAAGACCTGCACATTTCAGAAAAATCAATGTCACAGTTTCTGTTAGTGTCAGAGCACACCAGCCCTTAGGAATTTTAACAGAGCCATGAAGATACCAGTGTGAGGGGTGTGACAGTAAGCTGTGAACCACAGTGCATCACATTAATTACTAGGGAAGGTTCTTAAGAGTAAAAACACAGCTGTGACATACAGTGGGATAACCTATTTTATCCAGATTTGATACCATTAGACCTATTAATTAAAACTGATGTTTGAACTGGCTACATTATCTTGACTAGATACCGTTCATTAGAGTGTTTCTATTGTTTGGATCATCATGTTAATTAAGTATTGCCTACATTTGCCGTAGTCTCTGATTTTGGTCATTTTCTCTTCTACTTCAGAGTCACATTGTTCCAACTCTTTTGGATCCTCTGGTAAGTAGTTACAGAGCTAAATAACATTTTGGAGTAACTTCTTGGTCTTACTGCCAAAAATAAATGACTGTTATATTGTTTTATCCCAGTTTATCTAATTTGCCTTGACTGAGTCAAAATATCCCACTGCTATTAGGAGGTGATTGTTTGCAATCATCAGGGGCTGAGAAGATTCCTTTAAATAGAACCAGAGCTGTGGATTACAAAGGTGCTGGGCACTAGTGACAGCATTCATCTACTCTTGTGATTTTACAGTGGCTAATTAGTGTAGTGTAGAATGGTGCAGCTCTGAGAGGGGATGACTAGGCATCAGTCTGTGTTGAGGGGGAGTTGAGGTACAGAAGACCACCCCTGGCTGCCTGCAGCTCAGGACATTTCTGTGTTGTGTGCAGAAAGTCTCTGGATGGACAGCTCACGTCTCCTTCACATTTCTGGGTCTGAATGAAGAAGGAAATCTGATGTCACACATTCTGCGTGAGCTTGGACAAACACAGCAATGGTGTCATTAACATGGGCATTACAGGAGGCCAAAGGCAAACAGGTTGACACAAGACTGGGGGAAATGTTCTTTTATGGATTGAAAGCAGATGAAAGATTGGAAGCACTGAATAAAGCTTGGGAGGAAAGAATTCAGTAACAGAGTATACCAGGGACCAATTTTTATTCATCACCATTACTGACTCAAAGAAGAGGATGAATAGAGAAATCTTCAAGACTGCAGAAAACAAGCTCTTTCAAGTATTCAGATATACTGATAGGAATGAAATCCAGAGGGATTTCATAACACAGAGTAGGCAAAGGGCGGTGGGTTTGGAAAACATTTGCTAAAGGGCTGGGCAGCAACATGCCATCCTGCATTCTGCCTTGGAAAGAACAGAGAGGAGCCTGCAAATTTTGGTCAGGGACATGAGCTCTCCCAGAGATGGATCACAGGGCTGTGAGATCGTGGTCTGACTCATCACAACACTTCCCATGTTCCTGTGTGCCACTTACTGCAGATACTAGGTCAGCAAGAAGCACTTTTGTGTCCAGTGAGGCATTTCTGTCAAACGTCTGTCAGCTGCTAACAGAAAACATCTGCTCAAAATTCTTCCTCTCAAAATGAGGACATGAAAAGGGGGAGCAGCAGCTCTACCAGGTTACTCATTTCATGTTTATCTAATTGCTTTCCAAGTGGAACTAAAAACTGAGCTACAGCAGACAGTTCAGTGTGCTTGTTAGTATTCTGCACTGTAGACCAGATTCTAGGCTGACTTAAAAATAGCCCAGCAAAATGTATTAGGCCTCCAAAGCAAAGGGTAAAGCTGTCTAATGGTAGTTCCAAACACTGCTGTAGGGCTGCTAGTCCAAGACTGCAATTTGTTGTGGCAGATATCAAATGGGGTGTAAATTATACAATTGGCCAGGATATTCAATCCTGCCTTTCTAAATTTCAGATTAGAAATCTGCCCCTCAAATTTCATGAGAACCTATTTTTTAACAGAAAACTTCAAAAATTTCAGAAAACTGAAAAATTAAGATGTAGGAAATATTTTTAAATATTTTTTAAATCTCAGAACTAGAACTTTCAATAGGCTTGAACATACTGCAAGCACTGTATCTATGTAAGTATGGCTGTAGTATGACTAGCATTAACAGCTCAGTCACAATATCTTTAATTCTGCCTTTGAAGTTACTGTTCCTTACAATGCAGGCTGGAGCAAAGAACACATGGTGTGACTGTTTCACATGCTGACACTGTCTGCTTTCTGTTTCTTCACTTTCTGCAGCAGTGTTTCAGCTCGTGTGGCCTATTTGGGTTCCACTGCCTGAGCAACCCTTGAGTCTTTCTTTCTGGCCCTGCAAAAGAGTATTTAGCCTTAAGTCTGTGAACTGACCTGGAGTTTCCTCAGCAACCCATCACTCAGTGAACATCATCATTTTCCATTACACCATTATTTCCCATACATGGCTCCTATTTGTCTTTGCCCTTTTCATCACATATATTGGATACATGCTTGTGTTTTCAGAGAGCATAATTCTAACTATTCAGCTATTTTTTCTTTCCTAATCTATAGCCAAAGTAATAAAATTCAACTGCGAAAAGAAAGACAGTTTCCCTGAGCAACTGGAAAGATTTAGCACCTTGTGCATATTTAATCCTTTGGGATAGTTGTACTCCTTATAAGCTAGGATCATTATGAGGGGCAAATGCAAAGAGTTAGAGACTAAATGTCTCTAAACAAATTATTCTTTTCTTCTATTTTAGGATTTATAGTTATTAGCTGAATATAGTGTCACTTTGTCCCTCCTCCAGAGGAAACAAACGTGAAGAATTAAATTGGATTTGTTTAATTCCTTTGACAGCTTAAAAGTGGTAATTGGCTATTGCCACCTATTGAAGCACATTTATTACAGAAAGCTTAATTTTTATAGAAAAGAACCACAGACTGTTAAAAAAAAATTATTTAAAATTACTTCAACACATGCAACACTCAGGCCTAAACTATGTCTATCAAAAATGAAACGTCTCTCTAATTTCTGTACCTCATTTTAATTCACCTTATTTACAGCAACATTTGGAAAACTTTTTGAAAAATCTGCTTACTCTCTTGACATTATATAAATAAATACATTTGGTAAAAACTCACTTAAAACTGTCCATGGCTGTGATTAATGAGTCTGTATGGACAGCTGAACAATTAACTATGATTTTGTCTTCCTTTAATCTAAAATGGAATTCCTGTTAAGTACACATTTCTTTAAAGCAGAGCTGTCAGGTGAGTGGACACTGGACTTCTACTGATTTTAGTAACAGCTAAAAATTCAAAACATGGATCTAAAAATCATAGCAATTGCACTTAATCCTGTTGCTACTGTAACTCATAAAACAGTCAATTGATCTGTATCATGGAGTCAACAAATCACCTTGGTGGCCCCTACCAAAAGGGGAAACATAGTGAAAAACAGCAAGGTAAATTAAGTATCAAATTACTCTGGCCATTATTTTTATTATTTAAAGTCTGAAAAGAAAGAAGTCAGGAAGTAGATTCTGATAAATTTAAATGTATCCTGACAGTGCTAGTGACATCATTCTTCTGATCTGTCCTTTGCAGGACATCTCTGCTTCAGAACAGAGGCACGGGGGTGGCTGTCTCACAGACACTGAGCCTGCAGTTCTTATTGGCACTAAATTGATGAGCTGGGGAGTTAAGGTTTTTTTATTATTATTCAGAATTTAGCTGCTGGCATTCATTGGAAGTGCTGAGTCACAGGTTTTTGAGTGCTGGATTCTGCTCACTAAAGACACTTACCATATTTCATCTTATGAAAAAATACAGGTAAAGCATGTACTGCAACATTACATAAATTCAGTAGTTCTTATTCAATTTTCATTACTGATTACTTTTGCCCATTTTCTTTCTGATAGGAGTACTTTCTGATGAGTCACATCTGATTTTATAAAGTATGAGAATAGTCATATGACCTTATTCCAGGGGGCTTCAAATGTAATAAATAACTTGGCACACTCACATGAAAACAGTAGATGACACAAACAAGCTCAGTTCTGTTCAGTTTACAGAGACTAATTTCTTCATTTGAATAAGCCAGGAAATATTTTTCGGCTGCCTACTTATCTGTCTGCCTTCAACCTCTGCCACCAATTTTGCTCAGAAACTTGAACATAATTTTGCTTCTATTGAGTTTATTCAAGTGAGAGGTTTGCTGCCAGAGAGCACAGAGCCGTTCTGATTCATGTGTTCTTTTATTTTTACATCTGAATTAGCCTTTCCACATGCTGCAGAAGGGCCTCCTGGGATTTGCCCCCTCTGTTTTCCTGTCACACGTCACTCACACAGGGTGCGAGGCACTGCTCTCCCAGGCACAGAGGACACTGCAAGGTTTCAGCTCAGGATAATCACTAATTCAGCTCTTTGGTTGTTCTCAGAAATCACTGGTGAGTCACATGAAGAACCTGCTCTTTAATGCAAAGCGTAGGCCTATGTATTTTTCATCACTGCTGCCAAAACAGACCCATTCTTCCTGCAGTGCCTGTGAATCCTCAGCACTTCTAGGTGTAAGGGAACAGGGCAGGTAGGAAACCTTCCCAGGCCAGGAGGGCAGGGGTTAACTAACACTCACACCGGGTCACTGCAGGCAGGCACCACAAGAATCTAAATCTTCCCTTTCAGGGCCTTAGTGCTGCTCCCAAAGCAGAACACTGCTCCAAATTAGGGCCCTCTTCTGCCTGCTTTGCTGCTACAGAACTGGTGAGGAGGAATGGCACAGAGCAGTGAAGTAACCTGTAACAGGATATTTACTCAAATCCCTCGTCATGGTGGTAATGCTGTGTCTGCCTGGTAGCTAAATAATTATGCAATTTGTGGCCTGGTTGCTATGTCTGTAAGTATAATTAAATATATAAATAGATGGAACACAGTACATTTTTTGCTGCCTAAGAATTGATCTAACTTTTGGGATTTGTGATTTGATTCTCAGTGGAAACCACCATCTACCTTGACAGCTTCCAAATGAAAGATCAAGGCTGGAGCTGGTACCTGGGCAGAACTCCATTAGTTCTTGGTGGGTATAAATGGAAGAAAACCTCTGCATTTTGATTTCTGTATATGGACGGTTTTATAGTTAGAACAACAAGAACTTTCCAGAGCTGTTTACCTTATTAATAAGAAGAAAAATTTTAAGAAGCCAAATAACCTACACTGAAGTGAATGTGCTCATGTCAAATTATATGTTCATATAGTAGGAAAAACCCACTGAGGAAAATTAGGTCTTCTTGAAAACTAGACACAACTCATCAAGACAAATTCTAGATTAAAAAAATGTGACTCAGAAAAAGTCGTTTTAATCCCTCTACTAAATGGCATTGGAGCACTATGATTTGGAGTTTAGGGAAAGGTATTTGGGGGAAGAAAATGCATATAGTTTTTAGTACCAAAGATTTTGCTTGAATTACCATTAATTTTTAGGAATTTCTTTCCTGGAATACAGAACATGTGTATTATTTGTCCAGCTGAAAAATGAGACAACCACAAAAGTAGTCAATGGTGTTTTGTGGGGAGGATTTTTCTGCTCCACACTTTCTATTCTAGCAGAAGTGATTCTAATCCAGTTGCTTGGGATGGACTACCAAATGCTGGCATAGACACTGCCATTTGCAGTGACTATATGCAGTGAGATTTCTTCAGTAGCAACAAAATCTGTTCATTCCCTCGTTAGGCTCCCACATGCCTTTGGCCAAGCCTTGTTCAGCTGTGTTTGTGCAATCAATGTTACTCCAACACCATAAATGTCCAATTTTTCCTTCTAAATGATTGACCAAAGTCAGCTAATACTGCTTTACACAGAATCTGGCTGGAAATATTCAGGAGATAATTTTAACCTGTATGAAGGACAGAACTACAGGAAAGGTTTGTTTGGGTTTGTTAAATTAGTAGACTGCTTAAAATAGTTTAATATTAACTGGTATTTGTGTAGTGTGGTCACTAAGTTTATTCTTGTAACCTTATAACTGCATTTCCTATTTCCATAATTTCAAACAGAAAAATAAAGGTATCCTGAACTGGTTTGCAGATTTACAGACAATATTTTGCTAAAAAAATCTGCTGGCAGATTTGCTAACACATTTTAATTTAAACTGTGAATGTTTTCATTAACATACATTTGGCACAGAAAGTCCTAGCTAGAAATAGTGATTTTTCTTCCCAAATGCATTTCAGTGTTTTAATATGCTAAATCCTTACATTTCCAGAGTTTTAGAATCACTCAAAAAAAAACCCAAACCAAACCAAAAAAAAAAAAAAAAAAAAAAAAAAAAAAAAAAAAAAAAAGATCAAGCAAACCCTCGTGCTACAATTAAAATGGTGAGCTGGGTAGTTTGTCATCATCCAACAGACTGGTTTTAAAAGGCAGTAAATTAAGATGTATTTCTGGCTCGAGGAAGTTCTCTGAATTGTAATAAATATTAACCGGGATGCTCGTTTCGATTCAGGGCTGCTTTCAGGACCGGATCAGCAAAGCTGCCGCCCGGCTGTACAGGCAGCCCCCCGCAGCACAGCGGCAGTGGCTCGGAGGGCGAGTCCCAGGGCAGAGGGTCGCTGTCCCCGCCGGCCCCGGGCGCTGCCGGGCGGGGAAGCGCCGGGGCGGCCCCGGCCCTTTGCCCGCGCCCGGAGCTGCGGTGGAGCGTGTCCCCGGCGCTGTGCCCGGCCGGACAGTGAGGAATTACTTACTTCCCTGCGAGCCCTCTGCTGCGTCTCCGCGGGCCTGCCCGGCGGCAGCGGCTCCCGGCTGCCCCTGTAGCCCCTGCACCGGCGGGGCGGGTGTCATTTGAAGGGAAGATGTTGCAGAAGGAGCCGCGACGCAGCGAGGGCAGCCCGGGGCGGCGGTCCCCGAGCTGCGGCCATGAGGGCACGGCGGGCCCCTGCCCCGGGCCAGGCGGCGGCGGAGCTCAGTCGCTTTGGAGCGCCCTGGGGCGTCACTCCAAGTACCCGTCAAAGACATCCAGCTCGCTGTCCGTCTCGTAGAGCACGGAGCCAGGGTCGGAGAGCATCCCCAGATCCACCAGAGCCTGGTCCATATCCTCGGGCAGGAAAACGATGCCCACATTGAGGACGATGTACTCCATCAGGAAGGCATAGTACAGGATCAGCACATTGACAAAGAACAAGCCCACGTAAAACATATAGGGCAGCACCAGCAGCGCATGGAAGGCCCAGGACTCCACCGAATCCAGACGTGCGGAGACCGCGGCGGTCATGCAGCCGTGGGGGCTGCGGGGGCAGCGGGCACCGACCCGCCCGGCTGGCGCGGGGGGCCGGACGGCAGCGGCGGAGCTGGGAGCGGGCACGGCTGTACGCCGCAGCCCCGTGGCAGCAAAGGACAGGATCTCTGAGGAGCCGGATCCGGAGCCCGGGAAGAAGCGAGCCCGCCCCGCAGGGGCGCGGAGCGGCTGGGTCGGTCCCTTCAGTCCCCGGAGGAAGAGGGGCCCGGCGAGCGGGCGGGCGGCCAGCGCGGGTTCAGCGGCGCTGCCGCAGCCCCGCCGCTGGCAGGAGGCTGCTCAGCGGCATCTCCAGCCCGGCTACTGCAGTCCCGCCGCGGCTCCCTCCTCCTCCTGCCACCCGCAAACTTTGCGGAAGGAGCCCGCAGGCGCGTTGGGAGGCCGGCTTGAAGCACCTGCCAGCGAGCCCGGCCTGCGCGGCAGGACCGCGCTGCCGCCCGCCCCTCGCTCCCGCCCCGCCGCACGCCGCCGTTGTTTACCAGCGGCGCGCTGCTGCCGGCGCGGGGCGGCCGTGACGGGCACCGGCGCCTCCGCCGCGTTGGCGGCACTCGGGTCCCGCTGCGGTGCACAGGGGCTACAGCGGACAGGGGCTGCAGCGGACAGGGGCGGCTGGCGCTGCGCGACCCTCGGCTGCGCGCTCCTGCCTGCCCGGGCACTGCCGCAGCCGCAGCCAGCGGAGCGGGCGGCGCGGGCAGGTTTGGGCTCTGCCCTCGTCCCTGGAAGTTGTTTCACGACCTCTGCTGTGACCGAAGCCCTCCTGGAGCAGCACTGCGGGCCCGGGCCCCTCTCGGCTGCCGTGCAGGTGTTTCTTTGCTGACCAAGTCTTTACCTATACCAAAATATAACCGGAGGTGGGATTTTAAACTCGGTGCAATTTTGATACTGGCTGACAAAGTCTTCAGCGTTTACACAGATTTAGTTTATTTCTCTGGCTAAAGCAAAAACAAATTTAAAAATCCTAAACTACGTCAAGACAGTCAAGGGTCCCCTTCTTTTTGTTCTTCCTTAATTTTTAAGCCGATTCAAAATACTGACTGGAAAAACCTCAGCAAGGGGAATGCCAGCAGCTGAATTTCTGACGCTGCGTCTTGCAGCGCAGGAGCTGACCCCCCACAGCTTTATTTGGGTTATGGAAGCCGAACAAGGAATTCCAAGGGTCAAATTTGACCTCAAATTACAACGCATTCAGGAGGTGCACTCACACATTTAATGTTTTTGTTTTTCTGGTTCGGGTTCCGCTTACTCTCTCTGTTGCTTTAAGCGACAACCCCAGGCCCCGCCCAGCCCGTGTGGGATCGGCCCCGCCCCCCGCGGCGCTCCCTGGGACTCGCAGTCCGCGGGGCGGGGCCGGGCCGGCGCTTTCCGGCGTGCCTTGGCCGCGCATGCGCTGTGCGCGCCGGTTCCGCCGCCGAGGCTCCGGGCCGGTCCCCGCCCGGCGGGGCTATGAGGCTGTAGGGGCCGCGGGCTGAGCAGCCTTCCGCCGCCAGCATGTTCGGCCGCTCCCGCAGCTGGGTGGGCGGCGGGCACGGGAAGGCCTCCCGCAGCATCCACTCCTTGGACCACCTCAAGTGAGCGGGGGGAGGGCGCGGGCTCGGGGCGGCGGTGCGGGCGGAGGGTGGCGGGGCTGTGAGGGGGCTCGGAGGGGGCGGTTGTGGCCGGGCTCCGCCCGCGGAGCTGCTCGGGGCAGGTTTCGGGGCTTCCCTCGGAGGCAGCTGCGGGGCCGGGAGAGGAAGGGGCGGCTCGCTGCCCTCGCCGGGCGTTTTGCCGCAGCTCTCCCGAGGGAAAGAGCCCGGAGCAGTCCCCGGTGGCGGAGGCTCTGTGTTCTGGCGTGTACCTCACGGGAACCGGCCTCTCCGTCTTCGGGGCAGACGCAGGTCGTCATGTAATGTCACACTCCGGGCTGCCATACGCGTTTGTTTTGTTTTTAGTAATGCCGCAGAGTCTTTGGTGGAGTAGAGTGCGAGGCGTGATAAGTACGAGAAATACCACATTCCTGGGGAGGGAGAACTTGGTTTGTGTGCGAGGTGCCGTGTGAGGATGGCGGCGGGCAGCACTGAGTCACCGGGCCGGGATGTGCGCGGGGTGCAGCTCCTGCAGCAGGAAAGCTTTGGGGAATATAATGTGTGTCCCGAGCCCCACAGCCCTGTGGTACTGCTGGCTGCAGAAGGTGGAATCGTTTTTTCCTAGCTCTGCCACTGGAGAGTCGGAAGTGTGGCAAGGGATAAAAAATTTAATTTCCCTGTTCCATTTTAAGGGTTCCGCTATTGCAAGAAAATGAGAGCCACCTTGATAGCTTCTCTTTGTACTGAACGAGAAAAGGAGGTCATTAAGAGCTGAAGCACTTTCTAAATGAAATCACTGTGAATGTGTAGCTCATTGAGAAAAAGTACCTAGTAGTTTTCAGTCTTCTTACAAGGAGGACATGGATGGGTTCTGACAGTAACGAGCAGGATGCCCTGTACAAGACTTGGATCTTGCAGTTGCTTTATCAAGATGATTTACAGATTCTGGTCCTTGTCTCTAAACTGGAAAATGTTCAAAATGAGCAGGACTAACTGAAATGCAATGCTTTTTACCAAAGACACAGAAATCAAGCCCATGAATACAAAACGAATGAGGCAGTAGCATTGCAGAAATAATTTCGAAAGCATTGTAGCTCAGACTAGCAAGTCAATTTAGTCTGGTTTTACAGGAAAAGGGGGAAAAGTCATGCTCAGATGTAAACATAGGAATATTCTGTTGAACATACAAGGAGTAGTTATTGTGTACTACTCGGCATTAGTGGAGCTTTAGCTATGTCTGGCTTTGATATTTGACTTCAAGAATCAGCAAGAATTCTGATGCATGATGAAATTTGAAAAAACTGAATTTAAGTCTAGAAAAAAAAAAGGCTGGTGAGAGGGAGACTTGAGACTTACTTTCAGATAAGAAAAAATGTGCCCATATGATCTTTTGGGACCACAGAGGCTGGAAAAACAACACCTTACTTCATTTGTAGTAATGGGGAACTGGGCTGAAAGTGTTGTGGCTTCTTATAAGAAAGTTGAAGTATATATTTATCTACTAAAGTACGAGCTTTGGTCTGTTTGCTTTTTTGCATGTGATTTCTATAATTATGAATCTGAAATGGTTATATGTAAAGGACAGATGAGACCTTTGATCTTTTTATACTATGTGTATTTTAAGTGTTTATCCAGGCTGTGTGAATTTCAGTTTCTAGATAGGTGCCAATGGAAAAGGTGAAATTTAGGTCTTTTCCAAATGTTGAAGTGGGTAAAGTAACAGAAGGAAAAAGGTCAGAGAGCCTTTGTTTTGGGGTCATGAAAGAAAGTCTCAGTAAGCTCACTTGATAAGCTTTTTACCTTCTCCTCTCATCAAAGCCCCATTTTGTGTTCCATATGAAGGAGCTGAGTAGAACACACCTGCCTTGCTATTACAGGTTAGCTCAGTCTGTAAAAGTTATATTATGCTGTGTTACAGGAGTGAAATCAGTCTGGGCTAACCTTGTGGGAATTTTTTTATTTTTATACTTGCATAAGGTACAGTTTAGTCTAAATTATAAACAGTCCATGTGCTTAGTGATACCAGCAGCATTACTGCTTTTTGTCAGTAAATGCTGGATCTTTACCATCAACTTTAATGTAGTTTGAGGCTTGCTTTTGAAATTTTGCTATTCAGTCTTCCTGAAAACATGCCAGAGAATGAACTGGCTGAAGGAAAATTGCGAGACTGTTTGTATTTGGTGTTTTTATACAGTTTCTTGATCTCGTGAAAACAGTTAAAATTTAATGCAACTTCTGAAATATGATCTAGAGAAGGATGACACAGTGCTGCTCACTGCCTGGGTACTTCTTAGAGAGCTTGATCTTTGTGTGTCTTTGTTTCCAAGTCAGACGTTTCCCCCTACTTTTCTATGGTGTTTTCACAGCCCTGTTGTTACTGTCAGGCACATTTCCCATTGTTGCTGCTGCACTTGGTATTTTAATTGCACTGTGATTGCACAAAAGATTCCATGCCATTAAAGTTGGGTGCTGAACCGTTCGTGTGCCTTGGTCAAATGCTGTGTCCATAAAGGTGTGCTTGAAATCTCTTTTCATGAGTGATTCATTTCCTGAGGCACTGTCCGTGCTATGCATCAGATTTCCTCTGTGAGGACAATATGCAATTACCTGAGTACAGGAAGTGTGAAGGAGCAAGCCTGTTATGGTGAATTTTGGGCTTTTGAAATTTGAGTGCTTGACTTCCTAAACTCTTACCTGATTTAATGTATTTTTGTAAGTAATAAGTAGGAAAGTCATTAATATGCACTTAGAATATTCATGAGTTACTATGTTACCCCTTTGAGCATGGGTTCTAACCAAAAATGTTCAGAATTTTGTTTAGTTTCTTAAGTTGTTGGCAACATCTCCCACTGATTCTGATGGTGTTGTGTGCTTTGGCACTTCCTGCATGAGGTGTTTTTGTTTGAACCCAGTCTTCAGCTATGGAGATGCCAAAAGTCTCCTCTTTGACAGTTTTGTGTTTTGAAGCACAAACCTGATCCCTCTGTAATCAGCATTTAGAGACAGCCTTTAAAGATTTATCTAAATACAAAATATTGGGTTTGTGTGATACTTCATGTTTTCATAATGTGGTATTTCACACGTCTGTAAAAAGAAGCAAGTATGTGTATGCTTCCTTGTATATTTATCCTATTTCAAGCAAATAGGATAAATAAGAAATAAAATAAAATGGTATAGCTTGAAGGTGAAGCCCAGGTTTCCTCTTAAGTGCATCAGTCTTTAGCAGATTAAGGAATTTTGCAGTAATGCTGCTGCTAAGTAAATAAATTTGGAGATAATTGATTCCCGACTGTTAAATGCTTGTGCTTTTTGTGTTCGTAATGCTCTATATTCCATAGGTTCCCAAAATGAAATAATATATTGTTATTCTTCCCACTGCATCCCATACCCAAAATTCTACTGCTGGAGTAAATTTTAGTCCCAAGTTTGTATAATAAGAAATACACATTCACAGATGCAATAATTTCTATGTGACTTCAAATTAATAGTCTAAAATATGTGAAGTAATATAGTATTAATTGCCGTTTCAGGAAGTTGTTAAAATTATTGTGGAATGAACTGATCTAATTGCCATCTCTTCAGATGTTCTCTGCTCCATTAATTGCTGCATCCTCAGAGCAGGGACTGAGTTTGTGCTCTGTCTTTGGATTCACTGTCCTGATAATGCATGAAGTGCCCTGATGGGAAGTTTTTCCAGGGCTCATGTGTGGTGTGCTGTTTTAGAAACCCTGGGAATTATCACAGGTGGTCAGCCTTAAGCTGTCCCATCTTCACTGTGAGCCACCCCCCTGTCAGTCTCCACAGAAGAATCTTGAGCTGTGATCCTCAGATTAGTGAAAGAGG